ATCCGCAGACATGGGGTTAACTTCCACATGTATGCGGATGACACCCAACTCTACCTTTCCTCCTCTACCCTCAACTCCACGACCCCCGATGTCCTGACAGCTGCCTGTCCGACATCGAGTCCTGGACGAGAGACAACTTTCTTCAGCTCAACGTGCGAAAACTGAGGCCCTCCTGATTGGCTCACGTCAGCGCCTCCGCACCTCAGGCGCTGACAGCATCAGCATCCAAGGCTGCACTCTCCACCTCTCAAAGCCATCAGGAACCTCGGGGTTCTGTTCGACCCTGAGCTGTCCTTTCTCCCCCACATCCGCACCACAACTGGCACCGCCTTCCATCACCTCCGGAACATCGCCAGACTACGGCACTACCTCACCCCTCACGCGGCTGAAACTCTGGTCCACGCCTTTATCACCTCAAGGCTGGACTATGGGAACTCTCTCCTCGCCGGCCTTCCCGGCCCTCCCTCCACACTGCAGGTCATTCAGAACTCTGCAGCTCGTGTACTGTCCCGCACCACATCACCCCCACCCCCACCCTCACCCTCGCTCGCCTCCACTGGCTCCCCATCCCCCAGAGGATCGAATTCAAGATCCTCATCCTCACCTACAAGGCCATTCACGGCCTCGCTCTCTCCTATCTCTCTGACCTACTATCCCCCTACCTACCTGCCCGTACCCTCCATTCCTCTGGCTCCGGTCTGCTCCACATCCCCCGCCCCAACCGCCCTACCATCGGTGGCCGGGCCTTCAGCTTCTCAGCCCCGAGGCTCTGGAACTCCATCCACTGGTGCCTTCGCCGCTTCCTCCCTTTCCTCCTTCAAGGACGGTCTCAAGACCTTTCTCTTTGACCTTCAGCCTTCAGCTCCTCTCTCGACTCTCTACCCCCTCCTCGCTCCCTCCCTTCCCTCTCCTCACCCTGACCATTTCCCCCCACAATGCTCGGGTCCTGACCCAACTGTCCAGTGCCTTGGGACGTCCTCCCGACGTGAAAGGCGCACTATAAATGGAATCTTGTTGTTGTTGTTGTTCTTGTTGAGGGGGGTTAGTGTGAAGGGGGGTTAGTGTGAAGGGGGGTTAGTGGGGGGGTTAGTGTGAGGGCGGTTAGTGTGAGGGGGGTTAGTGTGGGGTTTAGTGTGAGGGGGTTTAGTGTGAGTGGGGGGTTAGTGAGGGGTTAGTGTGAGGGCGGTTAGTGTGAGGGGGGTTAGTGTGGGGTTTAGTGTGAGGGGGGTTTAGTGTGAGGGGGGGTTAGTGTGAGGAGGGTTAGTGGGGGGGTTAGTATAAGGGAGTATAGGTGAGGGGGGGAGTAGTGTGAGGCGTACTTATTGGGGGGCGGCGGGGGGGTAGTGTGAGAGGGGCTTATTGGGGGCGGTGGGGGGTAGTGTGAGAGGGGCTTATTGGGGGGGGGGTAGTGTGAGAGGGCCTTATTGGGGGGTGGGGTGGGGGATAGTGTGAGAGGGGCTCATTGGGAGCGGTGGGGGGGTAATGTGAGAGGAGCTTATTGGGGGGTGGGGGGAGTAGTGTGAGAGGGGCTTATTGGGGTGGTGGGGGGCGTAGTGTGAGAGAGGCTTATTGGAGGGGTGTGGGTGTAGTGTGAGAGGGGCTTATTGGGGGGGTGGCTTGTGTGAGAGGGGCTTATTGGGAGTGGGGGGGGTAGTGTGAGAGGGGCTTATTGGGGGGTGGGGGGGTGTAGTGTGAGAGAGGCTTATTGGGGAGGTGGGGGGGTAGTGTGAGAGGGGATTATTGGGGGGTAGTGTGAGAGGGGATTATTGGGGGTGGGGTAGTGTGAGAGGGGCTTATTGGGGGGGTTAGTGTGGGGGTTTAGTGTGGGGGAGGTAGTGTTGGGGGGGTAGTGTGGGGGGTTATTGGGGGGGTAGTGTGGGGGGGTTAGTGGGGGGGTTAGTGTGTGTGGGGAGGGATAGTGTGGGGGGTTAGTGTGGGTGGGGGTGTAGTGTGTGGGGTGAGTAGTGTGGGGGGGTAGTGTGGGGTAGTGTGAGGGCGGTAGTGTGGGGGCGGTAGTGTGGGGGGGTAGTGTGTGGGTGGGGGGGTAGTGTGGGGGAGGTAGTGTTGGGGGGTAGTGTGGGGGGTATTGTGGGGGTAGTGTGGGGGTAGTGTGGGGGGGTAGTGCGGGTGGGGAGGGATAGTGTGGGGGGTAGTGTGGGTGGGGAGGGATAGTGTGGGGGGTAGTGTGGGTGGGGAGGGATAGTGTGGGGGGTAGTGTGGGTGGGAGGGATAGTGTGGAGGGGTAGTGTGGGTGGGGGCGTAGTGTGTGGGGGTGAGTAGTGTGGGGGGGGGTAGTGTGTGTGAGTAGTGTGGGGGGGTTAGTGTGTGGGGTTAGTGTGGGGGGTAGAGTGGGGGTAGTGTGGGGAGGGTGTAGTGTGTGGGGGGGGTAGTGTGGGGGTAGTGTGAGGGCGGTAGTGTGGGGCGGTAGTGTGGGGGGCGGTAGTGTGTGGGGGTAGTGTGTGGGTGGGGGGGGTAGTGTGGGGGAGGTAGTGTTGGGGGGGGTAGTGTGGGGTGTTATTGGGGGGTAGTGTGGGGGTAGTGTAGGGAGGTAGTGCGGGTGGGGGGTAGTGTGTGGGTGGGGGGTTAGTGTGGGGGAGGTAGTGTGGGGGTAGTGTGGGGGGTTATTGGGGGGTAGTGTGGGGGGTGTAGTGTGTGGGGGGGTAGTGTGGGTGGCTAGTGTGGGGGGGGCAGTGTGGGGGGGGGTTAGTGGGTGGTTAGTGTGTGTGGGGAGGGATGTGTGGGGGGGTAGTGTGGGGGTGTAGTGTGTGGGGGTAGTGTGGGTGGCTAGTGTGGGGGGGCAGTATGGGGGAGGGTTAGTGGGGGGTTTAGTGTGTGTGGGGAGGGATAGTGTGGGGGGGGTGTAGTGTGGGGGGTGTGTAGTGTGGGCGGGGGTAGTGTGTGTGGGTAGTGTGGGGGGGTTAGTGTGGGGGGGTTAGTGTGGGAGGGGTAGTGTGGGGGGAGTTAGTGTGGGGGCTTATTGGGGGGGTAGAGTGGGGGTAGTGTGGGGAGCGTGTAGTGTGTGGGGGTGGGTAGTGTGGGGGTAGTGTGAGGGCAGTAGTGTGGGGGCGGTAGTGTGGGGGGTAGTGTGGGGGGGGTAGTGTGGGTGGGGGGGTAGTGTGTGGGTGGGGGGGTAGTGTGTGGGTGGGAGGTAGTGTGGGGTGGGGGGTAGTGTGGGTGGGAGGTAGTGTGGGTGGGAACCGAGAGAGAGTGACAACATTCGGGTTTTAAAGTGGGTTTTGAAGAGGCAGCGAAGTGGACACCAGGGACAGAATCGCTGAAAGTTTGGCCACTGTTGGGGGGCTATTGGATGTGCCCCCCCCCCCCACCTCAGCACTGCACTGAGGCATCAGCCAAGACAGTGAGAGCTCAATGGCCTGATGTCGGGTCTTGAACGCACAATCTTCTAACTGGGAGGTGAGAGCGTGCGGGTCGGGCCGGGCCGACCGCATAGTGAAGGACAGCCCTTGTCCAGCTGCAGTATTAACTGCTCCATAATTTACCAGAGGTTTATGTACAATGACTTTCTGGCAGGAAAGGAAGTAACTTTCTGGGTCGATGTGAGTCAGGAGTGAGTCATGTAATCCACTGATCCAAGCTACATGTCCAAAACTTTATTTGGAAAATATTCGCAATGAGTGGGATAAGGGTAACGCCTGTTCTGTATCCACTTCAAATGTCAGGAAATGTGCACTTTATCCCAACTCAAAAGCATTTCCATTTAATGCTCGGCCTCTGTCAGCGCCGATCCTTTCACCTCCCGGGTTCTGCTAAAGGGTCGTGGACCTGAAATGTTGACTCACTTTCCTTTCTCTGTAGATGCTGCCTGACCTGCTGAGTTCCCAGCCACTTATTTTTTTCATCCTTTCAACCCCACTTACCCCTATCTTATTTCCAGACCCCTTCAAGCCTCTATCCTTCATATACCCCTCTACTTCCCTCTTGTAATCCACAATGGACTCTACTGCTTCATTTGTAGGGCATTCCACATCCAAACAACTGTATGTGTGGAAAAAATTCTAAGCTTCTCTTTCTGTTAGCGCAGAAAAAACACATCGGTCAGGATAAAAACTGGTCTCTTTAATGCTGGAAACTTTTAACATTGGAACCAAGCCCACAAATCAGGTCAGAAAGGAATGTGAGCAACAATGAAAGGAAATTGGAGGGATTAAGATTGGCTCAATTATCATTGTGATTTAGGGAGGGAAAATGCACAATGTGATATTATCACATCTCGCGTGTTCTTGCATTCTCACCTCCGGGTCAGGAGCTTGTGACTTTGATCCCCTCCCACCAGGATCTCTGAGCTCAAAGCGCTGGAGATTGTCATGTTGCCGTCCTTCAGATGAGACATTAAACCATGCTCTCCCCATCTGGGCCTGTTCGGAAAGATGGTAAAGATCCCCACAATAACATTGGAAAAGAGAAGGAAGTTTCTCACAATGTCTTGATTGTTCACATCGCCTGCCTGTTCAGGTGAATGCTAAAGATCCCATGGCAGTATTTCAGAAAAGAAGGGAATTTCTCTCCCAATGTCTAGCCCACAATTCCCCAAATAATATTGGTCGCTCAGTCCATGGCTGTTTGTGGGACACTGCTGTGCCCCCAGTGAAGCGTCCGATTGTTTAACTTGGTTTGTATTGTAACACAGGAACCTTTCTACACAATCAAACATCCATCTTCTCTCCGTGCCCATCAATGTTGAAGAGAAACTTTTCAGTGTCAAAAAATTCCTTTGATTGAACTCAATGCAGCAGTTATTGTGTCCATCACTATGGGGGCAGGAGGAAAGGAGGAGGTGGGATAGGGTAACCATAGAGGCAGGGAGATCCAGAATTGGGGGTGTAGAGGGCAGGGTCGAGGATACAACAACAACAACGATTGCTTTTATAGAACGCCTTTCACATCGGGCGACGTCCCAAGGCGCTGGACAGTTGGGTCGGGACCCGAGCAGGGGGGGAATGGTCAGGGTGACATTATCAGTAAAATCCAATAAACAGGTCTTTCCTTTTTTCTCGTGTTTTAATTAGAATCGGGATTATACAAGGAAAGCCGTAGAGAGTAAAATAAAATATGAAAACCTGGGAAGTCTGTGAAACGAAAACTTGGAATACTTGTGCAGTGTATTTCAGTGAGTAAAACGTAAAAAAAACTTACATCATCAGCGAAAAGATATTTCAGCACAACAGAATACATAACATATTGCACAATGGGCAGCGAGCACCAGCACAGACATGATGGGGAGAGAGAGAGCATGGATTGGGATTAGAGTACAGGGCTTCAGTCAAGACATGATAATATCAAATTTATCAAATTTGAGGATTATAATAAGAGGTAAACATCCCTTCCTTGTAAAAGGCCCAGACAAGTTGTCCATTAGAGTTACTCAATTTCCCACAAGGTTCCTTCGTTGCTAAAGCTAAAGACTCTGAAATTCCAGGAACTCTGGAAGGCCGATGGAAGCTGATTCCATAACAACTTTTAAGAGAGAAGTAGATAATTATTTGGAGAGGACAAGTTTGCCGGGCTAAGGGGAGAGTGAGGGGGAGTGGGATTAACTTGGAAACTCTTTTCAAAAAGCCGGCACAGACACAATGGGCCAAATGGCCCCTTCTGTGCTGTATAATCCTATGATTCTATGACCAGCACATTCCTTCTTTTGGAAGAGAAGCTCACCCTGGTGACCATCTCATTGTGTAGGTTGGACCTGACCTGTTTGGTGCAGTCGGAGGCTATTAGCAGTAGAGGCCAGTCTCTCTGACTCAGGAGTCCATCAAACTGCCGTGGCCATCTTCCTGTCACAGGAAGTGAGGTCAGCAGCAACCCGAAGACTCGGAAACACTGACCAATGGCCATTTTATTCTTTAAGGGGAAAGACTGAGTCTTGAGGAGGCCCACAGCCAGTCCTCCAAGCAGCCACAATCGATAGACCCCCTCTCCCAATTCATCAGACCAAACTTTTAACTGAATTTAATTCAGCCCCTCTCCCCCAGCATCGGCTAAGGCCCCAGAGAGAATTAAGCAATCCTCTTGTAGTTGTTTCAGATCTCTGGCAATTAGTTGTTTGAATTAGATCCATTTATTGCTCAGCAATTCCAGGGGCGTAAATAGTGCAGGAAGGAAATGCATTGTTCTGGGTTTATGTGTGTGTTTGATACAGATAAAAGACCATTGAACCTCACCAATTAGCAAGACTCAAATGAGCAAAGTGTTGAAATATATAAAACAGCGCATTCTGTTATAGCACACCTTATAGCACACCTCAGTATATAGCACAGGCAATGTGCACCCCCCCACCCCCTTCCCAAAACAGGGAGCACTTCCTGCTTGACTGGCCAGCTTCCTGTGCGGAGTGCAGAATGTCCTCCTGGAGTCAGTGATCTCACCGGGTGGGGGGGTGGACTGCTTGGCATTCTCACACACAGTACAGTTCTCTGTGCAACGTGACCTGTTATAACACGGAAGAAGCGGGGAGTGAATAGCGGGGCTCAGTCTTAACGGGTATATGGACAGCCAAGCCCCGAGGGATGTAATGGAGATGGAAGCAAACAGAGACTCCATTGCACTACGTTGTATGAACGTAAACGTACTTCAGAATCTTGTGGGCAGTTAGTGATAGAGTTAAAAGGAGATTGACGTATATGGCACCTGCCATGTGGTACAATGTCTAGGCCTCCAGAGAGCAGCCCAGGAGACCAGACTCAAGCGGATGCTAAACGCATCAAATTCAATCGTAACAAGAAGGGGAGAGAGAGAGAGAGCAAACCCAAGAGCCTGCGTCGGTCACTGTTCTAGGGATGACTTGGGGTGAGAGGGAGAGAGGAAGGAGGGGGAGAGAAGTGTGGAGGGAGATAGATAAAGAGAAAAAGAGGCATGAGAGTGGGAAAGAAGGAGACAGAGGGAGGTAGCAAAAGAAAGGAAGAAAGAAAGATGAAGGTAATGAGAAAGCAAGGTGGGAGGGAGATAAAGCAATCAATAACCTCTCGAATTAAGTGACAATGGGTGACTTCCCTTCCTTGTTCCTCTCTTCCCCCCCAGTCTCTTCCCCGGCTACATTTTCCACAACACAGTGACTGAGCGCGGGTCTGGTCTGGCTCACTCCGCCGAGCCCACGGGCCTCCTCTTTGAGGGGGGCACGAGGTATCCTGGCAGCTGGTTGGGGAGCCCGTGTCCATCCAGCTTGACCTCAATCAGGTGACTGGCCAGAGCGAACTCCTCGTCATCCAGCATTCCGTCCTTGTCCACATCCGACAACTTCCAGATCTTTCCGAGCACGGAGTTGGGCAGCTTGGTGGTGATCATCCAATTCTTGGCCTTGACACCATTGATCTTGCCGTCAGTGGGCGAGAGATTGTAGAAGATCTCGTCATATTTGGGCTTGTCCTTGGTGACGATCCACTCGTCCTCGTCTCTCGCCTCGAAGGCTCCATCGTTCACTCCCTCGATGAAGGGCCCATTAGATGTCCCGTCAAAGGCCCCACCGTGAACTATCTGCTCCGGCATCTCCAGCTCTTCCTGTCTGACCAGCGGCATCAGCTTTGAGATCTCAAACGCCAACATGTCGTCCAGTGCCTCCATCATCTTGGGCTTCAGTGAGTGGAACTTTGTGAAGTCGTGAATCATCAGCTGTTCCTGAGGGAGCACAGAACGTTACAGTACCATCTGCCCTGACTCCACCCCCCCCCCACCCACCCACACCCCCAGCAGGTCCCTGGTCAAACCTCTTATTTACAGCATGACATTCGATGTTTGTCGTGTTGTGAATTCTCTCTCTCTTTATTATTAATGGTCAGACAGAGGTTGTCTGGAGACAGGTCAATGAGAGTAAATAAACATTGGGAGGTAAACTTCCTCTTCCTGTTATATGTCGCCACTTTGGATAGAACTAAAGGGGTGGAGCACAAGTCACAGGAAGTGGTGCTGAACTTTTGAATTCCACCTGGTCTTAGCCTCCAGACCATCCTGCCCTCAAACACACAGTCACTACACTTTACAGGCAAATCCCATGAATCCACTTTCAGATGTTTGAGCAATACATTAATGCTTATTGTGAAATGTAATATCGTAATAATCCTCTCAAAATATTCCACAGGATTTTACTGTCAAGTGTAGTGACTGTGTGTTTTGTGGATGAAAGCGGCAGCCAATTTGTGCACAAAAACGTCCCTCTAACAGCCATGAAGTAAACGAGCGATTTAATCCAGAGATTATCGGCCAGGGCACCGAGAGAGAGAGAGAAACTGCCTTCTCTCTTTTCCCGTCAGCGGCACGGGATCTTTAACGTCCGCCCAAACAGGGCACAGACAGGTAGAGCTCCATTTAACTTCTCATCCGAAGGATGGCACCTCCATCGATTTGGCCGGCCCGGACTGTGAAATCTGAAACATTCTCTCTCTCTCTCACCTGCATCTTGGTACAATCTGGGAAGTCGCCTGGAGAGATGTGATGCTCCAACTGAATCTGAGCAAAGATTTTCCCCAAGTTATTGATCAGGTATTTCTTTTTGTTTTCCTTCCTAAACATGGCCGGCATTTCCCTCTTCAGGGAACTCATGATGTAAGCATGGACCTGGTGGTGAGGGGGAGGAACAGAGTAACCTCAGATCCTGAAATACTACTACATAATAATAACAACAATAATAACATAACAATAACAACAAATAATAACAATCACAACAACCACAATATTATGTATTAGTATTAGATAAGGTGGGTGTCATCAAACTGTTTGTACTTATTGATGAGTCCATAACTAGAGCTACATAAATAAAAGCTAGACAGGTCTCAGGTCTAATGGTGAGTTTAGGGGAAATATCTTCACACAGAGGGTGCTGAGAATGGGGAAGTCATGGATGAAGCAGAAAGCCTCAGCGTACTTAAGAGGTGTTTGGATGGCTAAAGGAGAGGGGGATGGAGGGATAAAGGAGAGAGGAATGGAGGGGTAAAGGAGAGGGGGATGGAGAGCTAAAGGAGAGAGGGGTAAAGGAGAGGGGGATGGAGAGGTAAAAGAGAGTGGAATAGGAGAGGCGTGGTGGCTTATGTGCAGGACTAGTTGGGCCGAATGGCTTGTTTCCATGCTGTAAGAGTCTATGTTCTCCTGTTCCTATATTCTTCCGAACAATACCCAGGAGACACCATCGCACTCTATGTGTGCCCAAGAGACATTCATTTTCATTCATTGAAACAAAAATCCCTCGCAGCCACTTCCTATTCCTAACCCACATATGTACGAAGAGGAAACTCCATAAACAGCTCTATTTACACACAGACACTGGCAGCCTCCCTGCACCTTGTGCTCTGTTGCTTCCTGGATGTCTCCAGGCCCTGGTTCTGCTCCAGAGCAAAGGCACAGGACAGCATAGTGATAGTGACAACTGCTTATAGTGATAGTGACAACTGCTTATAGTGATAGTGACAACTGCTTATAGTGATAGTGACAACTGCTTATAGGGCTCCACAGGTTAACAGAGTTTTCACACAAGTGAGTAAAGATCACAAGATCCCATCGCTTTGGTCCATCTGATCCCATCCCTCAAGAACACCCGCCTTCTTGACTCCCTGTTATAGCATTCAGCTGCCCCACTGTCCTGGACTCTACCCCACACACCCCCTCCCTCTTCCTGTTCTAGTCGTCGATCCCCCTTTGGGTAAAGAAACACTTCCTGGTGTCTGTCCTGAAATTGCCCCTTTACAATTCTGAACCTGACTCCTCTTGTTCAGAAACCATAACAAATTTACAGCACAGAAAGAGGCTATTGGGACGTCCTCCTGACGTGAAAGGCGCTTTATAAATGGAATCTTGTTGTTGTTGTTGTTGTTGTATTTGGCCTGGCGACATCCGGGGAGAGAGCGAGAACTTGAGGGAGGGAGAGAGAGACAGAGAGAGAGCGGGAGACAGAGGTAGAGAGACACACAGAGAGAGAGAGAGAGAGAGAGACAGAGAGAGAGAGACAAAGACAGAGAGAAAGAGATAGACAGAAAGAAAGAGCAAACAATTGAGAGAAAGATAAAGAGAGAGATAAGCACAGTGATGATTTTCCACCGATGTCAGACACCGGACAGACCAATTTTTAATGGATTATTATTAAAGATGATGATTACTGCCATTTGTTTGGGTTCGTTTTCATTCCCCGTCTCCTACAATAACAACAACAAGATTACATTTGTATAGCGCCTTTCACATCGGGAGGACGTCCAAGGCCTACATGTTGATGCCTGTCCCCCACCCGACACACCGTGTGTAAGCCGCGGGCCGGCTAGCGATCACAATCCAAGACATTAATCAGTGTCAGATGGAGGTTTTGGCTTCGACTCAAACATTATTTAGTTCCAAATTAACCACTAATTGTGCCTCTGGCTCCAAAGGCAGGCTTGTTGTACACCAGCCGAGAGAGCATTTGCTCACTTCACGGCCATTTTTTGGGCATTGCTGGGCACAAATTGGCTGCTGACTGCGCCACACCTTACAGAGAATTCCAGCCAAACACTTTGAAACGTCTTTGTGACGTGAAAGGCATTATATCAATAAAACAACGAGTTGCTATGTTTTCAGCGGGGAAGGAGGGCGAGGGGAAGAGAGGGGAGGCAAATAACAGCAGCAAACAAGACACAAACAAAGATGCTGAACCTTAATCAGGATAAGGATATGTTTGTTTTGGCCGCAATCACTTGCAAAAAGAAGCAAATTTGTAAAAGCGAGCAGGATCGCAGGACACAATGGCCTGTCCTGATCTGCACATCACAGATAAGAGCAGAGCAGCCTCTGGGCTCCAGGAGGATGTGAGAAATTATCCCCTTGGGAGTAAAGCCACAGCTGCTCCTTGTTTAACCATGATTATAACAAGGCAACAAGTGGAGCTTTGATTTGTAATGTCTTCCCCCCCATAAGGATAGCTCCACCCCCCACCCCCACACCAGAGGGGCGGCCCCCTTTCACTGACTCCCTGCTCAGCACAAAATAATATAGTGAAAAATAAACTTCCCAAAAGGTAAACAATATCAATGTTTCCCGAGGAGCAGCACCGACCAGGACCAACATTAGTTTGAACTCTCGGATCCCCAGCAACACTACCCCATCCTGTCAACATTCACTTTATAAAACACAGAATCACTACACTTGACAGTAAAACCTGGTGAAGCGTTTTGTGACGTCCTCCTGACGTGAAAGGCATTGTATCGAATGTAAGGATTATTATCAAATATGCAAGAATCAATATTTTCATTAATTATTAAATGAAAGATTATTAAATAATGCTTATTATCTCGTACAAGGATTTATAGTATTGATATTTATTCAGTGCGCACTGACTTCATGACCACGCCCTGACTCCCCTACATTGGGGATTGGGCTTTCAGCATATCTACCCCCACTCTCTGCCTCTACTCCATCCCTTTGCCTCACCCTTTCCCTCACCTCCTTCAAGGTCCATCTCAAGATCTTTCTCTTTGACCGCACGTTCGACCAGCTTACCCCCCCACCCCCCACAAACGCCACCTCCCAGTCCCCAACACCCCCCACCGCTTACCCTGACAAGGCGAGCTCTTTTCACCAGGTCATTGAGCTTGCGGAGTGCGGCGTTCCTGGGCAGGTTCTGGATGTCCTGGAACAGGTCTTGCTCCTCCAGCTCAAACAGCCGGCGGTTGTCGGAGATCAGCAGTGGCTCTGACCAGAAGGAGCCAATGTAGACACGCATGACCTCGGGGGAGTTGATGACCTTCCCAAGCGACCACATGAGGGCGCCGTAAACCCTCATCAGCTGTTGGGTGTCAACCTGGTCGGCTTTGTTGAGCACCACCCGGATCTTATCCTCGTTCCCCTTCAAGGCCCCGATGGCGGCTGAAAACTCGTCGGAGATCTCCAGCTTGTGAGCGTCGAACAACAGGATGATCCTGTCCACTCGCTCCGCAAACCACTGCAGGACGGCTGGGAAGTCATAGCCTGCGGCCACAACAACATATTTTGTATTACAACATGTAATACAACAACTTGCACATATAGCGCCCTCCACGCAAAGTAGCATCTCAGAGCACTTAATAGTGGCGAAGCCTAATAATCCTCCTAATCCTAATCAACCAGACAAGACATACTGTGAAATTTGACTGTGTATTTTTGCGAAACGCAGCAGCCAGTTTGCACACAACAACAGTCCCAACAACAGCCATGGATTGAGTGACCAATTTTATTCAGGGAATTGTTGGCCAACACCATTGAATCTTTAATGCCCATCTTAACAAGCAGACAGGACCTCAGCTTAATGTCTCATCCGAAGAAGGACACCTCCAACAACGGAACAACAACTTGCATTTATATAGCGCGCCTCATGCAGGATACTGTCTCAGAGCACCCCCACCCCATCCCCAGCAACACACCCCACCCAGCACCGCACAATATGGGGGCGTGAGCTGACACACATAACCATCAGGTTTATTTACAGAGTGCCTTTCATGCAGAATCGTGCTTGGGGTTTGGTTGCTGAGTGAGGGGGAAAGAGGGACTAAAGACAAGATGGAAGAGTCAGGTTAATATCATACTGACTCAGACATACTCCATATCTCCGACTTCATCTCCCCCGCCATCAGCACTTGGCACCCACTCTCTAGAACTCCATTCCTGAGTCCCTCCAACTCGCTCATTCCCTCTCACCTTCTCCAAAATCCATCTCTTCAACCGTGCTTTGGGTCATTCCCCCCTCCCCACCCCTCAGCTCCCTCCCTCAGCTCAGGTGCCCCTTTATGTTGTATTGTATTGCTGTGAGATGTCTCAACAACGTGATAAGGCGCCATATCAAACACAACGATTATTAAATTATTATTATATTATAAGGCGCTCTGCCAAAATGCATCGTCCTTTTGCTCTCAAAAACAACCAAAATAATCTGAGTGTGTGACTTGAGCAACAAAATCTCTCTAGATAAATATTCCCTGCTGTCCGTTCACAAACAAACCACTGTTTCCTGGCCATTTCTTTACCTGATGTACAAGCCATAACATCCTACACTGACGTCAATCCCGGAAGTCAATGCTCTCAGTCCCAAGCTCCCTTTATTTCCTCCACTAGACACTATCCGTGTGCAGGGCGCAATAGAAATGCAAGTTGTTGTCATTGCCTTCTATTTTTATTTAGTAGCCCCCGTTCTCTGGAACTCCATCACAGAGCCCCTTCACCTCGCCTCCTTGAAGGTCCGTCAAAGAACTTCTTCTTTGATCATCTTCCCATGTGGGATTAGGGCTAGGGTTGGGGGCTCCAACAACAACTTGGATTTATATAGCGCCCTCTACGCCGAATGGCCTATGGGAACCAGCTCTGGCTGGAGGTTGGGGCTAGGGTCGGGTTTAGGCTGATGAACAAGCAGAGTCTGGGAACAGTCCAGAAACCGCGCCCGAAGCTCCTGGCAGCTGTGCACATTCTCTGCTGTAACAGACCATAAAAGGCATCGAGCCTGTTTTAATAGGAATTTGCTGTGAGCAAATATAAACCTCCTCAAGCTTTCAGCCTTGCAGTTCTTGTTTCCAATACAGTGATACTGCCTCCCACCCCCGGGAGTCAGCGGCAGAGTGTAGTGTATTTGTTGGCAAAGTCAGAAATGTCTCAATTCTCCTGCATTCTCGTCTCCGACTTAAAATGTTGTGGGTTCGAGCCCCCCATCGAGGCTGAGGCTATAAGCCTCCCTACCGCTGGTTCCTACTCGCTCCGACCTATGGCAACTGGTCCCACCTTGGTTTGAATTCCAAAACGTTTCTCTGCAAGTTCCAAACCTCCCCACACACACTCCCCCACCCATACACACACCCTCCCCACCTATCCACCCCCAAAAGGTACCTGGTGGAGAGAGGGGGGGAGGGGAAAGACCCACACAGTGAGGGGGAAGAAATGGGAAAGAGGTAATAAAGGAGGGAAGGGAGAGAGGGAATAAGGGACAGAGATAGAGAGTAAGAGCACAAGACAGACAGAGTGAGGCAGAGAGAGGGAATGGTGGGGGGAGGAGGGCACTGAGACTGAGAGGCTGGTGTGGAGTCTGGATGGCAGCCCATTCGGTGTGTGGGGTGAATGGTGATGGTGAAATGTTTATTACTCACATCATCATCTCACTTCTTGAGATATCAACTCAAAGAGTTAAAACAAAGTCTGTCTGTCAGGCAACGTCAGGAAATTCTTTGTGTGGCGTAACCTTAGCAACATTCCAACACAGCGCTTACTCCCCCCAACGCCACAGCAATGGGCCGTTAGTTAAATCTACACATTCCTCTGCTGGGGCCTCCTCCTGGGGCAACGCCCAAGTTGGGGGGATGGAGGCTTGGTGCTCGGGTTTCCATGTGTTGTTCGTTCCATAACTGGAGGCTGTTAACATAAGCCACTCAGTGAAGCGAATGGGGAGTTTGTGAGGAACTCAATGCTGAGAGCTGTGGTTAAACAGGAAGCCTCAAGGTGTTTAAGATGAAACTTGATGCATATGTAAAGAGGAGGAGAATAGAGGGGTGTGGGAGAGGGGAATAGAGGGGTGTGGGAGAGTGTATTTTGTGGGTAAATGCAGCAGTGAGGTTTGCGCACAGTGAGATCCCCACAAACAGCCATGAAGTGAATAACTGATGTTGTTTTAGACGTGGGGGAGGAGGGTGGGCAGGACAGCGGGAGACAGAGAGAAACTCCACGTTTGGCCTATAGGAAACACTGACACATAGTGCTGCTGTGGCCCTTTGGCTGTGAGCCACAGACAGCTGTTAATGTGGAAAGTTCAGGCAGTGCATTCCAACATCTACACTGTCTCCAACACAACTCAAGCCCTGACACGTCAGCCAGATCATAGAGTTACTGTTCCTCGGTTCTTTCACAGCCATTCACAACAACGGTGCCTGATCACATCTCCGAGCTCGCTCTGCTTGACTTTAACGTCAGGTGTAGTGACTGCGTATTTTGACTGTGCGTGGTTCACAGTGAGTGATCGGGAGTAACTGGGTGGGCTGGTAGCCAGGACACTGGGGGTGAGGGAAAGAGAGAGAGAGAAATCTCTTCTCTTTCCCTGCAGCGCCACAGGGAGATCTTTGACATTCACCATCAACACGATGGGGGGGGCGCTCTCAGATTAATGGTTTAACGTTTCCCCTGAAAAGATTACAATCGCAGTTTGTCACCAGGGAACCAACCCTTCCTCCAATTTACAAATTGGCCGCTGATTTCACACACCGGGTCACACGCTGGGTCTCATACTGGGTCACACAGCAGGTCTGAAGGAGCTAAACTCAGTTCCTACCTCTGGTCACTCGTTGTTTAGTGCCTGACAGGATCCCGGGCGTGTCTATTATGCTGATGCTCTCCAACACCTTGTTGGGTAACTGGGCGCAGGTTAACCTGGGACAGACAAGACAACTCTCAGTAAAACAACAACAATTTGCATTCATACAGAGGACTTTAGCTGGGACATCGCAGAAGGTTTCATAGTGGCCGAGTCAGCCATCAAGCTTCACACCCCCCCCCCCCCACCCCGCCCGCCCTCTCCTTCGACTGATTATCCCTTTTTTCACTAGAGAAGAGATGTTTCCGAGAGGCCCCAATAGAGATGTCTAAAATTATAAAAGGGTTTGGATAAAGTTAACATCAATACACTGTTTCCATTGGTTGGCAAGTATAAACTAGCAACTGGGAATCAAGAAAGAGAATTTAGGAGGAACTACTTCACGCAGAGAGTTGTAAGAGTGTGGAACTCGCTGCCTGGAGTGGTGGTTGAATCAGATGGTGTAGATACACTCAAGAGGAAGCTAAACCTTCACATGAGGGAGAAGGGAATAGAGTGTGTGTGAGGGAGGGAAAGATAAGTGAAGACTTGTGTTGAGTATAGACACTGGCACAGATGGGTTGGCCTGAGAGACCTGTTTCCGTGCTGTACATTCTTTATTATCTCCTAATTATTCACCACAGTCAATGGCCACATGTCACAGTTAAAATACTTACAAAGCTTTGAGGGGCTTTGATGCTGTGCGGAACACTGAGATCACATCCCGGAGGGCGATGGGCTCTGTGTTTCCCAATGTCTGGGAGTCGATTATTTTCCCAGATCCCATTGTTCCCAAATGATCCCTATTCATAAGTCGGGTCTGCCTGCTACTGTCATTATATTGGACGGAGATTGGGTTAACTTGAACCTTCCTGTTATTGTGTACAGCTGACTATTCCATACACTGTTCGCTGGGGGAGTTCACTCTGCAGATACCTGGCTGGTGTCATGTACAAACATGTGCTCTTCCTTTGTACAAAAGGCTGTGAATTATGGCTGGATCATATTGTCCAGACTGAGGTGAACATTTGTTAGGTCAGGATATCAAGGGATATGGGGCAAAGGGGGTAATTGGAGTTGAGCTACAGATCAGCCGTGATCTAATAGAATGACGCAACAGGCTCAACAGGCTGAATGGGCTCCTCCTGTTCCTACACATACAAGTGTGCATGGACACACCCAGTGGGTGGGGGGAGAAGAAATGGCCGACAATGAGACCTTCAGTCTGCTTCCCTGGGAGAAGGGCGGGAATGAGGGCTGGGGGTGAGGCTGAGGGCTGGACACCATTCACCCGCCCTCGAGACCAAGATGGATGGAAACAGTGGGGTTGGAGTTGGGGTGGGGCGCAGGAGAGAATATAAGAAAGGATGAAATGCTCTGACCAAAAAAGCAGAGGAGAAACTGAGCTCCCCTCAGTCCTGTTGACAGAAGCTTCCAGCATCACCTCCTTTGCTCCGAACATCTGTCAGGCCCCTACACTCCTCGGCAAAGCTGAGGCAGAGGCCAGCTGTGCTGAGCTGTGCCGGGACATGGTTGGAATAGTACAGTGATCTGGTATATAAACATTGGTGATATCTTTATCTGCAAATAAGGTAATGTCCTCCCCTTCCTCTCCTAGCAACGTTCTGTAATGACCCCCTTCCCTTGTAAGTACTTGTCTCGGGGAGGGCAGAGAATATCTGTTGCAACATAGAAGGCCCAAATTTCCACCATTAGTCCTCGGAGCTCAGAGATGAGCATTTTTCTGCATGAAGGCTGCTATATAAGTCCAAGTTGATGGTGTGGGGGCAGAATTAGGGGAAATTCTCTAATTAAAGACTGCATTTTGCCAAAATCTTGCTCCAGGCAAAGAGAGTGGGGGTTGGGGGGGAGGGATCGTTCTTGCTACTCAGACTGGGTGGAATTTGAGGCCTCGGGAGAAATGGGGGTAAAATTTGCAGCATTTCACAACACATTCCTCGTGTAAATTAACACAAGGATACCTCTGCTACAGTCAGAATTTTATACAACAACAACAAATTACATTTGTATATCTTTCACGTTGATGTCCCAAGGTGTTTACAGCGGGTTTGAAGCTCATGTGATGGGGCAGCGCTCGGGTTCAGACAAGAGTGGGGTGTAAGTGGTAAGTGGCAAACACAGATCATCTTTCAATATTTCCCCATCGTATAATACAAGTCAACATTGCCTGTCACTTTGCGAGGACAGTGCTGGACAGGCATCTGAGGAGGTTGGGAGAGACAGAGTCCAGAGTAGCTTTCAAGAGGAAAGTCAATAAATGTGCCATGGTAACCCGAGGTGGTGGAGGAGGGGGGGATGACCAAAAATTGGATCAACAAGGCACGTTTTGAAAATGAGGGGAGGGAAGGATTCAGAAGGACTCTGGGAATGTTGGCAGCTGTCCCGGATTCCATGAATTATATTCACCAAATCCAAGCTTGATGCGGCCCTTCTCTCTCTCTCCCCCTTTCCCTTCTTTTGTGTCCAACCCCACCATTGTGCAGCGTTGAGACGCTATCCTGCGGGAAGAAAACTACATAAATACAAGTTGTTGTTGTTGTTGACATCCATCAGTGATCTTTTAGCAAAAATGGATGATTCTGCCTTCTGGATGGATTTCCAAAACAAAGTCTGCGAGACAGGAGCCTCACCCCATATAAAATCACTGCTGTTTACGGGACATCGCTGTGCGCAACCTGCCTGCGACATCCGCCTGCAAAGTAGTCACAGCACTGGACAATAAAATCCTATGAAGCACTTATTGAAATGTCTCGATGACGTGATAAGGTGCTGTATCAAATGCAAAGATTATATTCATTTTATTCCACAGACACAAATTTTATTCTCCCCACCCACAAAAAAATAAAGGAGCTTTGTAAAGAAGCTGACCTGTTGAGGAATGAGTTGCCGAAGGGATTGAGTTTGCGGAAGGGTTTGTTGGGATCCACGATCAAGGCATTGCCTGGAATAACACTCTCCACTTCTCCGTGCATCACCGCGGTGAAGGAGTCGGTGGTGGGTTCAGGTCCCACTCGGCTCCCGGGGAAATCTTGCTCCAAGAGGTACTGGATGAAAGTGGTTTTTCCTGTGGAATACTGTCCCACCACCAGCACCATGGGCTTGTTGTCAAAATCAGCATCTTCCAGTGACGGCGAGTGAAAATCATGAAACCTGTAAAACTCTTCCAATGGTAACAGCTTCGTCTTGTACAGTTTCTTCAGTCCTTCAGTCACAGTGTGAATCACTTCAGGATCCTTTTTCTCGTTCTTTTTAAGCCAACTGAACATTTTTTCTGCCTTCCTCCCTCCCTTTCTCTTTCCTCTCCTAAATTATTTTCCCCCCACCCTCCCTTTTGAAGATATCGCTCACAGTGATGTGTGTGTAAGGACTGGGGAGGCAGAACAAGACAAATTGGCAAAAGATCGCCCTCAATCTCCCTTCCTCCTTCTCCTCTCTCCACAAGTTTTTTCAGAGAAAAATAAATGTTCCTCCTTTTCTCTTTCTCTATCACACAAACAAAAATAAGTTTATCAAAACTTTCTAAAACTTTGCAAGAAAATCTTTTTTTTTGTAACTTACAGAAAGGTTGGCAACTGAGAAAACTTCTAGCACATTCGTTAAAGACTCTCTGGAACTTTCTTTGGCGAGAGATAAACAGACACAGGAAAGTTACGAGCAAAAATAAAAGTTTGTAATGTGAATAAAGACCTTTTCTCCCTTTCCCCTATCTCAGTTTTCCTTGGTTTGAGACAAGGATGAGCCTCACTATTTGCATCCTCCTGTTTGCTGGCTGCCTATGAACTACCGATCATTCCCACATTCCATAAAGTCTGCATAAATTTTAAATATCTCCCTAATTTATTATAATCCCAGTCTGAGGGTTTGGCCATTTGTGCATCGACCTTCAGATTGACATTGTTCGTTCAGTTTGCCACTCCAATCGCCATCTACTGACCGACCGACGGTATTGCTCTTAAAATAATAATACGGTCAGTAACTTATATTTGGTAAATGTCTCGAAGAAGGGAGTTTGTTTCTCTCTCTCTCTCGACAGCGATCCTGACCAACAATCTCCCAAATAAAATCAGTCATTCACCTCATGGCTCTTTGCAGAGACATTGCTCTTTTCAAAGAGCTGCACAGACTCGATGGGCCGAATGGCCTCTTTTTGTGCTGTACGATTCTATGATTGCTGTATTCAAATTGGCTGCTGTGTTCTCTTCAAATACACAGTCACTACACTTTCAGTTAGTGGAAATCAGTTAATAATAATAATAATCCTTGTATTTGATACAGCGCTTTTCACGTCTTCTCGACGTCTCAAAGCGCTTCACAGAATAGACTGTAAAGTGAATTGACCGTATATATTATTGGCAATACGCAGCAGCCAATTGCACACAGGAACGTCCCACAAACAGCCGTGTGTTGAAGGGACCAATTTATTATTGTCTTATAAATAAAACTTATTTAACAATAATAAAACTTGTTGGAAGGGAGCGGTTTATAAGGACAAACAGAAAGACAAGGAAAAAATTAGGTGGAGGACAGGAGATGATGAGATCACAGAAGTGTTGATGGTGCAAGACAAAAGAATACAATAGTGGAAGATTACTTTCTCTAATTTCCCACTATTGCCTGCTTTTCTCCCAATCTCCGTTTGCTTGCTATCTTAAATTGATACAGTGCTTTTCACGTCTTTGAGACATCTCAAAACGCTTCTCAGAATATACTGTAAAGTGAAGTGACTGTATATTTGTGGGCAAAATGCAGCAGTCAATTGTGCACAGCAGCGTCCCACAAACAGTCATGGATTCAGTGACCACTTTTTCAAAAAAAATTTTTTGAGGGATTATTATTAGGTGTGTGGAGTAAGGAAACTTGCCCAAGGTTTCACCCTGCCGGGGAACTAACGCAGGTCTCTCACTTGAAAGCCGAGTGCTCTAACTACTGAGCTAGTTGGAGGGAAAACTGGCTGTCGCACAAAACATACAGTCACTGCGCTTGACAGTAAAATCCTGTAAAGTGCTTTGAAATGTCTCGATGACGCGATAAGCTGCTATGTCAAATGGTGAGGATCTGAGATAATATTGCTCTCCATCACACAGATGGGCTCCAGGCCATTTTGAAGAAAGGATTACCGCAAGTCTGACAATTAAACTTTGGCCTAATTACAGTGAGAATGTGCTTACGTGTTACATTTACCAAAAAATTATCTCAATAAATATTGACCCGATAGGTCATTACCGTAAACTATCAATCATTACCTGGAAGTATCCTGCATTCAGTGTGATTCGTCATTTATTTTATTACTACAATTACTTTATAGTATATCCTGTGAAGTGCTTTGGGACATCCTCTTGACATAAAAGGCGCTGGAACAAATTTAAGGATTGATTATTATTATGATTTTCTCTATTTCCTTGTTTTTTAATGTTGTAATAACTTGGGATACCCACATCAATAGTATTACATGTACAATCTATTTAGAATAATAATAATCCTTGCATTTGATATAGCGCTTTATCACATCTTTGAGATGTCTAAAAGTTCTTCACAGAATACACTGTAAAGACTGTATATTTTGGGCGAAACGAGGCAGCCAGTTGCGCACAGCAATGTCCCACAAACACTCGTGGATTGAGTAACCAATTTTTTTTTGGTGTTTTTTTAAGGGATTGTTACCCCCAGAAAGCAATTCGCCAATAGACTTAACAACTGCTTACTGCTTAAATAGAGGTGTGTGTGTGTGTGTGTGGAGTAAGCAAACTTGCCTAACGTTTTGTCCTGACCTGCCCGGGAATCGAATCCAGCTCCTCTCGCTTGCAAGGCGAGCGCTCCAACCACTGCACTACCGGACTCCATCCGGCTAAAAACATAAGAAATTGGGAGCATTTGGCTTCTAATTTGGGAATCCAATTTGAAATAAAAACAAAGTTTTTTTTAAAACAAAAGCTACACATTAGGTTTCATGCTTGTGCCGGGCAAGCACAATTGTAGGTGGAATGTGGTTAATGATTGAAATGAACAACAGACCAAATTACATCCTAACGCCCACAACCTGCTACGCGATTACTATATATAGCGATCGAGATCGAGAGTGAACACGAGAGTGAGCTAGCTTCACTGATAGCAGTAACAGGCGTGAGTTTTTTTGTCAAAAATGTCCGTGAGAGGTATCACTGTATCTCTCTATAAAGAGGTGACCCAAGCTCAAGCTGACAGAGGTCTCACTAGGGTTACCAGCTACCTCAATCAGGATTACAGAAAGCTGAAGGCAGCATGTCTGTCCAAAAGGACACTCTTTGAGGATCCCTACTTTGACGCTGGTCCGAAATCCCTTGGATACAGTCAGCTGGGACCTGGGTCTTCAACAACCAGAGACATAGTATGGCTACGGCCCAAGGTAAGCAATGTACATTGGGACGTCCTCCCGACGTGAAAAGTGCTATATCAAATGCAAGGATTATTATTATTATTATTATGTTGATTTGTATTTTCTCTTCACTTTGGTGTCAACTTGGTCCAACTGATAGTGCTCTCCTGATCAGAATTGGTTAATCAAGTGGAGAGCTCACAGTCAAGGCTGACAAAGTCGAGCAGAGCTGCTTTTTCAGATGCACCGTCCTCTTCAGTTGAGGCGTTAAACCGGGACTCCACAGTGGTGTGTCCATTGAACCAGTCGTTGAGGCTAAGTGTCCTGGCTGGCAATCCGGGATGAGTACTTTAGAATGCATCAACACAGGTTTAAAGTCGCAAAAGGGCAATTTCAGAACAGAACCAAGTGTTTCTTTATTCAGAGGGTCTTCAACAATTGGAACAGGTTGTCAGGAAGAAAGGGGTTGAGGCCAGGATACTGGGACATATTTAAAGAGCAGCTCAATGACTTGATCGGTGGTGGGGAGGGGTTCTAGATAGTGCGATCAGGTGGGCCAAAGAGTCTTCGTCATCTGAACTGATCTTGTGACCAAGCTGTTTTTGATCAAGTCCAGGGTCCTGGCCTCACCCACTCTTCGTGGCAATAAACATTACAGATCTGAAATTGCCCTTTGCTTCTCTAAACCTGTGTTTGAAGTGTTTTGAGATATTGCAAAGTGACAAGGAACTATAAAGTATTTTTCCAATCCTCCCTATGTGTTAATATTTACCCAACAAAATCAATCTGCTCTTTATTATTGATTCTATTATAATCTGTTATGTGTTGGCTGTTGAATTGAGTTCCAGAACCATCTGTAAAAGGGAATCAGATAAATAATATTGGGAGAGAAAGCAGGGAATGGGATTAGAGTAGAGAGCTTCAATGGGGAGCGAGCACCAGCACAGACACAATGGGGAGAGAGCAAGGAATGGGGTTACAGTGGAGAGCTCCAGTGGGGGACACGATGAACTGAATATCTCCTGTGCTGTGAACATTCTGTGATTGAATCCCATACTACAGACTGATGGTTATTGATAAATTCTCTCTTTTGAAGGATATCTGCATGGGTGTAATGCCTGAATTCATCAACTGGTCTTCAAGTCGCATGGATATATGTCAGGGAGAGCTTGGTAAGTATTAGATTTCTGGTGATAATTGCTATACATTTCCAGTTACACAGCGCCCTTCACATTGCGTAAGGGTTCACTTAAGGAAGACATGTCAAAGTGCTTCACAATGCTGCCTGGGCACCCAACCTAGAACATGCATTAGCCTGGGTCGGTCAGCAGCACTCTGGCCTCCAGGCCACCTGTGGATCTGAGCTCTCCCACCCACAACTAGGGGGTAAGAAACAGAAAATGTTCATGACGTGTTTCTGTGAGCATCCAAGAGTGAAATTATCATAATAACAATCTGCGTATTTGATTCAGAATCTTTCAATTCAAGATGATGTCTCAACTGGAGTCCTGTAGCTCAGTAGTTAGAGCACTCGCCTCGCAAGCGAGAGACCTGGTTTCTATTCCCGGCAGAGCGAAATGTTGGACAAGTTTCCTTACTCCATACGTGTCTTTTTACCGAGCAGCAAGTAGGAACCCGGTTGTTAGTCGATTGGGAGATCGCTTTTCCGGGGTTAATAATCCCTTCAAAAAAAATAATAAATTGGTCACTTCAATCCATGATTGTTTGTGGGTCACTGCTGTGTGCAATTGGCTGTCGCATGTCACCCACAAAATATAGTCAATTCACTTTACAGTATGTTCTGTGAAGCACTTTGAGACGCCTCAAAGACACGATAAGGCTTTTGATATAAGGCGCTATATCAAATGCAAGAATTATTATTTATTAGAAATGTTTTACAGTATTCAGTGATTTGTGTTTTGTGGGCAAACGCGGCAACCAATTTGCACACCGCAACATCCCTCAAATAGCCATGAAGTGAACAATCAATTTTAATTGGGTTGGGGGTTAGTGGGTGGTGGGGAGGGGAGATTTTTGGCTAGGACACCAGGAGAAACTCCCTTCTCTTTTTGAGTAGTGCCACGGGATCTTTATCGTCTACCTGGGGAGCTCAGTTTAACATCTCACCTGAAGGACAGCACCTCAGACAACGCCACATAGCAAGTCCTGACATGGGGACAACCTCCTGACTCAGAGGCAGAAATGATGTGCCTGAGCCATACTGACACACACCTGATAACCATTGCAATTATTTCTGGCAGGTAATTGCTGGTTTCTAGCCGCTGGAGCCTCGTTAACCTTGTACCCCAAACTCCTCGCGAGGGTCGTCCCACAGCATCAAAACTTCCACACAGATTACGCCGGCATCTTTCACTTCCAGGCAAGTGTGGCTTTGTGCTTTCAACAGTCGGACATCACATTCAGGTCTCACAAGTCCCTGGGTTCAAATCCCGTCAGGTCCACTCCACATTCCCTCTGTTCATAAAACAAGCACCACAACTGAGAGCTCAATACCCACACAAAATCAAGAGAGAGAGAATCAGGAGAGAAAAGTAGAGAAAAAAATTAAAGACAAAAGAGAGAGATAATCAGAGTAGGAGATAGGATCAGAGAGATGGAGAAAGTCAGAGGCACAGACTTGTTGGCACAGTACTCCAATGTGAAACATTTTATTGTAGATAAGGAGGCACAACAGACCATTGTGTGTTTAAAAAAAACTTGTCTGCCAATAACCAAAAAGCTCAAAGCACTTAATGTTGACTAGCACCTGTGCTGGGGTGGGGTCGCGCTCCGAGATACTATCCTTCATGGAGGGCACTGTGTAAATGCTATTGTTGTTGCTATCATTGACCTGTTGTGCTTTCCACTTCCTAGTTCTGGCAGTACGGGGAGTGGGTAGATGTGGTGGTGGACGACAGATTACCCATCAGAGATTACAGATTGGTGTTCGTGCGATCCACAACCAACCAAGAATTCTGGCCATCCCTCTTGGAGAAAGCCTACGCCAAGTAAATACAATTCCATCTTGAGAGAAGATGATTCAGAGGGGACCTCATGGTGTTAGGGGGCAGTGGGGTTGAGGGGGTGGAGGCTGTCAGGAGAACGCTACGTTGTCGGACGCTCAGTTTCTCAGATGAGACGTCAAACCCAAACTACCTGTCTGTGCCATGAACAGGTGGTCCTTTTCTCACAGTGAGATTGCACAACCTCCAACTGTATCCAGACTCAATATTGAACCAAAATAGTGGGGTTATCAATCCTGCCAGTTTATACATTATTGGTGTGATCGTACTTGAAATTCTGCTCAAAGGTTCTGGTCGCTGCAGTACAAAAAGGATATTGCAGTGATTGAGAGGATAGAGGAGGCAGAATGATTGAGAGGATGGAGGGACTGGACTATGAGACGCGATTAAGTAAACTGGATATGTTCACACTGGAGAAGAGAAGATTGAGAGGTGATATGATTGTTGTTTTTAAGATTCTAAAGGGATTAGATAATGTAGACCATGGTAAGCTGTTTTACCTTATCCAGAACAGTAGAGAACATGTCCTGCAATTGAAGAGGGGAAATTGAAAATCAGTCTGCGGAAACACTATTTCAGTGAGCGAGTAGTAAATCTACAGAACAGGCTCCTTAGGGAGACGGTGGAAGCAGATAGCGTCAATAAACTCAAATACAAATTGAATAATTTCTTTTAGAAAATAATATTTGGGGATATGAGTAATTTGAGACATGAGAAGTTGTAGTATGCTTGGAAGAACTAGGTATCTTTGGATCTAAGGTTCCCAAAGCTTTCCCCTCTGCTGTAGATTAATCCATACAGAATTAATTGCTATCAACATCTCCATTATTATACCAAGTAACTCCCGACATGAAAGGCACTATACAAATGTAATTTTATTGCTGTTGTTGGTAGAACGGGGATTAGATGGACCTTGGTCTTTTTTCGTGCAGGCTTTCTGTGTTACCTTGTTCCTTCTAACCCAGGGGCAAGATAGCCACAGGCCTGACAACAATGGGTGACCACTGCTCCCCTTTTTATCCTGCTCACAGGCTAAATGGTTCGTACGAGGCCCTGAATGGTGGATTGATGGGTGAAGCATTTGTGGATTTCACTGGAGGGATCAGCGAGCACATTGACCTCAAGAGTAGTCCTTACAACCTTCTTGAACTGATCAAGAAGGCAGCAAGAAATCACTTCCTCATGGGCACTTTCATCGAGGTAAAGTTCTCCCTTGTCTTGTCCTCAAACCCCCCTCCCGCCCCATCCTCCCCATCCAAGGGATTATTTAGGGTCCAATGTGGGACTTCCATTAATTCCTAAATTCAAAACAAACAGCCTTCACTCAGGATAGAGTTTGGAGCATTCTCAAACTCACTCCCCAAGTCCCTCCCTCTCCTCGTTCAAGCCCTCTCCTCGTTCAAGCCCTCTCAAGATGTACCTTTTTGACTGCTCTTTCAATCATCTTTCTACACCCGCGCCCCCACCCCATCCTCCATTCCCCCCAATCTGCACCTCACCCCAACACAGGTGCCCAGCCATATTGTGGTCTGATGGGTGTTTGACATGTGCAGAATCTAATCAAAGAGTACCCAAACCAGAATTCCATGTTTGCTGGGTAACACCCTCCCAAATATGTGTTGTGCTTTACAGAATAGAAAAGTGGGTGATTCTGAATTAGTCAGGCCTGACGGCCTTGTAATCGGTCATGCGTATTCTGTGACAGGAGTTCAGGAGGTAAGTGCCAGCGCTCACATTCCGAGCAATGCAACTGTAACGCAACTCAGCCCACGGTTTACCCCTTCACCTCTGGGTCAGAAGGTTGCTGATTCAAGCCCCAATGTCGGGAGACTTTGACACCACATTCCAGCGCAGTATGGTGGTGGTTTTGGTGGGGGTGGGATTGGCACATTGTCGGGGGTGACATCCTTTGGCCTAGAAGTGAAACCAAACTCTCTCTCTGTGCCCTCTTCAGCCTGACATTAAAAATCCAACAACGCTATTGGAAAAGAGCTTTTCCCAGTCCTGGCTGATAACCCTGTACCCCCCAACCGATAAAATTACCCATTCACTTTGTAGCTATTTGGGGGATGTCACTGTGTGCAAATTGGCTGCTGTGTTTCACCTACAATACACAGTCATTTACACTTGACAGCAATCAATTTGTGAAGCGCTTTGGGACTCACCTGCTGACTGCCACACAACCAGTAGAGGGGCACTAGAGGAATCAGGAGCAGGACGCCAGGCTGGTTTTACCCCCCCTGACCTGGGAAGATCAGCTCCCACCAAGCAGCGGAGCCTGAGATCAGCAAAGGCACAGACCAGCATTCGAGCTGGCAAGATAATAATAATAATAATCCTTGCATTTGATATAGCGCTTTTCACGACTTCTCGACGTCCCAAAGCGCTTCACAGAACACACTGTAAAGTGAATTGACTGTATATTTACGGGCGAACGCGGCAGCCAATTGCGCACAGCAATGTCCCACAAACAGTCGTAGGTTGAAAATGACCAATTTTTATTATTGTTTTTGGTTTTGGAGGGATTATTATTAGGCTCTGTGTGGAGTAAGGAAACTTGCCCGAGGTTTCGCCCTCTGCCTGGAATTGAACTCAGGTCTCTCGCTTGCAAAGCGAGTGCTCTAACCACTGAGCTACAGGACTCCACTCCAAGATCATGCTGTGTGAGCTGCAGCTCTATCCACAACATCAACAAGGCGTGTCGTTCGCTTAACTTGTGTTTTAATTACTTTTGCATCAATTTTGTTGTCATTTTCACCTACAGATCATGAGTTATCGTAGGTCGATCAAGCTGCTGCGTCTGAGAAATCCGTGGGGGCAAATGGAGTGGCGAGGACGCTGGTCTGAGAGGTGAGTCATGAGAAAAAGGAGAAATTACTTAGAATGATCAGTGAGCCAATGACTAGAGGGCACCTAGTCCTGAGCCCATAAATATACAGTCAATTCACTATTCAGTATATTCTGTGAAGTGCTTTGAGACGTCCAGAGGACTAGAGTCCTGTAGCTCACTCGCCTCACAAGCGAGAGACCTGCGTTAGTTCCCCGGCAGGGTGAAACCTTGGGCAAGTTTCTTTACTCCACAAGCCTAATAATAATCCGTCAAGAAAAAAAATATTTGAAAAAGTGGTCACTGAATCCATGACTGTTTGTGGGACGCTGCTGTGCACAATTGACTGCTGCATTTTGCCCACAAATATACAGTCACTTCACTTTACAGTATATTCTGAGAAGCGTTTTGAGATGTCTCAAAGACGTGAAAAGCACTGTATCAATTTAAGATAGCAAGCAAACGGAGATTGGGAGAAAAGCAGGCAATAGTGGGAAATTAGAGAAAGTAATCTTCCACTATTGTATTCTTTTGTCTTGCACCATCAACACTTCTGTGATCTCATCATCTCCTGTCCTCCACCTAATTTTTTCCTTGTCTTTCTGTTTTTCCTTATAAACCGCTCCCTTCCAACATCTCCAGTTCTAACAAAAGGCCATCGACCTGATTATATGATTTCGCCCACAAATATACACCAATTCACTTTACAGCGTATTCTGTGAAGCGCTTTGAGACATCTGGAAGACGTGAAAAGCGCTATATCAAATGCAAGGATTATTATTATTGTTATTACTAACATTGTTCTGTGTTCCTATTTAAGGAGCAAGGAGTGGGATATGTTGGACCCCGCAGTCAAAGCACAATTGAACGTTAATATGGAAGATGGAGAATTCTGGTAATGTTTCATTCCCGGAACCCAGGTTCCAGATACCCAATACTCAGGGCATCATTGAGAATAATCTTCAGTGCCCTCCTGTGTTGCCTTTAGGACTTTGTCTTCTCTCTCCCGCAGGATGGACTTTGTGGATTTCCTGGAACATTTTGACGTACTAGAGATCTGCAGCCTGACCCCCGATTCCCTGGATGATGGCAACCCAGGAAAATGGACCATGAGCTGTCACCAGGGTAGTTGGAAACCTGGATTCAGTGCTGGAGGCAACACAAGCTATCGAGGTACCATACAATCCCACTCTCCTTCCTGTTTGATACACACTTGGCTCAGATGCCGTTGCCTCTGCAGCAGGAGGTTGTGGGTGACACTAGTCACATCAGCAACCTCAGTCGGGGAGCGGCGGCAGGACAGCGCGGGGAGGAGCCTGGGCCTACCGACCAGCTACTTAAACTCGACGCCGGAGCGAGTTCAGCCCCGGGGGGGGGGGGGGGGGGGGGGGGGGGGCGGAGCGGGGGAACTGCGACGTCATAGATTAGTTTTCAGGTACGTGCGCGCGCACAAAAAAAAAACAAAAAAAAACCCTCTGCCCCCCCCCCCCCACCGGGGCTCACATCAGAGCCCACTATGGTCCTGTTGGGTTCGCTGCCCCAATCTGCGGGATAATGCCATCCACCTGACCGCTCGCTCCCGGTCCCCGCGTGCGCACTGTGGCTGCCGCTTTGACCTGAGCCCCCTCACCCCCTCCCTCCCGCCCCCTCCTCTCTCCCCAAACCCTCCCCCTCTGCATCTCTCCCGCTCTCTCCTCCTCTCTCTCCGTCCCTCTCGCCTTCTATCCCCACTTGACCCTCCCACCCCCTCCCTCTGCTCCATCCTGGGAATCCTCCGCCGGCCGGGCTCACCGCGGCACTCGGCGTTGGCTGTCCAGCAGCAGCCACACCGACTGCCCCATTCCCCACCACACTCGCCACCCACCCCGGACACAGACCCGGGGAGCCAACCTCTCCTCCCTCATCCCCATTCCCCCGACCCCTGCCTCACAACCTGGACCCCCCTCCCCTCCCACACACCCTTCTGTCAACCGCTCCCTCCACATCGGACTGCAAAATGTCCGCTCCCTCTGCAACAAGGCCCTGGTCATCAACGATCTCATCCTTGATGAGAGCTTTGACATTATGGCCTTAACAGAAACGTGGCTCACCCCAGGCGACACCTTCCCCCTCACGGAGGCCACGCCACCCGGCTACACCTCCCACCACATCCCCCGCCCCAACCGCCGTGGCGGTGGTGTTGCCCTTATCTCAAGGACACCACTTGCCCTATCCCCCTACTCCACTGGCTCTTTCCCCTCCTTTGAGCACCTCACCCTCTCCCACCCCTCATTCCTCTCCCTTAAAATCCTCCTCCTCTACCGGCCCCCTAAAACCTCTCCCACCCTCATCTCTGACATATATACGGTCAATCCACTTTATAGTGTCCTATGGAGCTCTTTGAGACGTCTCAATCACATAATAATATCAAATGCAAGGATTATATATAGGTGTGTGTCTTAATTTTGTTTTTCGCACTCATCTTTCCTGTTATTTTAACTTAAAATCATGGCATTTCTTTTAAACCCCCTTACTAATCCTTGGATGCAGTGCAGCACCTGCTCTGTTGGAACATCCTAAATTGCTTCTCGGAGCTTTTTTTCCGTCCTGTGTAGTGATGGGTGTATTTCACAAGTGAAAGCTGCTGCCTAATTGCGTAGAGCAAATACCCAGTCAAATGGATGTGAAGTGAGTGACCAATTTTTTAAGAGGATAAAAAAGTGCAAATACAAATTATTTTGCTGTTGCTCTTTCCTGACTTTCAGATTAATTTAATTTCATGTTCTACCCATCCCCTGTGTTTTTCCTCTCACCTTCATTCTTAATTGGAACTTTTGCCCCATTAAAATTATCAGCACAACTTTTAAATTGTCACTTAAAGTTGCTTCCTTTGTTTTCTCACTCTTCCTTTAGTTCCTTCGATTTCTTATGTTTTGGGATTATCACAGATGGGATATTATTCCATTAATGGTTTATTGATAATTTGTAAGTCATTTCAACATCATTGTTCTTTACTCAAAACCGTCCTTTATCATTGGCTAGTGGACTAATGTGTTTATGCACCAACTCACATTTCCCTGGAGTGGGATGCATCACATCAGTGTGCTGTAACAGTGGTTGTGGAGAGTTCCAAGATCAGCTAAATTGTATTGGTATTGGAAAAATGTCGAGTAGCAAATTGGAAGATTAATCCTTGAGCCATGGTTTTCCTATATAGCTGTTAGCTCAAAGCAGGAGGCCTTTGAGCTGATATGTAATCTATGGAGACATAACAACAACAACTTGCATTTATATAGCACGCTTCAAGCCGGACAGTGTCTCGGAGTACTTAACAGTGGTGGAGCTGGATGCTGAGCCAAGGAGAGGGGGAAGGTGTCCTGGCCAGGGAAGGGAGGAGGTGTCTTGGTCAGGGCAATGAGGTGGAGGTGGAGGAAAGCGGACCTGGCCAGGGACCAAATGTGGGGTACGCAGAATACCTGAGGATCGATCGGGTTGGGTGAGGAAGTCTGAACCGCAAGAGAGAAGATGTTGATGGGAGGAGTATGAATTCAGTCTTGTCAACGTTCAGCTGCAGGAAGTTTGCACTCATCCAGGCCTTGATATAGATGGAGTCCTGTAGCTCAGTGGTTAGAGCACTCGCTTTGCAAGTGAGAGACCTGAGTTCAATTCCAGGCAGGTCAGGGCGAAACCTTGGGCAAGTTTCCTTACTCCACACAGAGCCTAATAATAATCCCTCCAAAAACAAAAAACAATAATAAATTGGTCATTTTCAATCTACGACTGTTTGTGGGACATTGCTGTGCGCAATTGGCTGCCGCGTTCGCCCACAAATATACAGTCAATTCACTTTGCAGTATGTTCTGTGAAGCGCTTTGGGACGTCCTCCCGACGTGAAAAGCGCTATATCAAATGCAAGGATTATTATTATTATTATTTCAAAACTCCTCACATCTCTTTGCCTATCCTCTGATCGCCTCATCATCCTGGGCGACTTCAACCTGCACTTCACACCCTCCTGCTCCATCTCCACAGACTTCTCTTCCCTGCTCTCCTCACTCAACCTCTCCTTACACATAAACTCCCCCACTCACAGTCACGGCCACCCACTCGATTTGGTGATCACCCGGGGCCTCAGTGTCTCGGATGTCACTATTACCGACAAGGCCATCTCTGACCACCACTTCATCTCCTTCACCACCTCCACCCCCCTCCCCACCTCCACCAGACCCACCACCATCTTCTACCGCCCTTGGAAGAAGTTACCCCCACAATCCCTAACCGATGCCTTGGAGTCCTCTGAACTCCTCTCCCTCTGGCCTTCAACCCTCACCGACCCCTCTTCTCCTCTCTCCCTCCTCCACAATACCCTCTCCTCCACACTCGATACTCTTGCCCCCATCACTTCCCGCACTGTCTCCTACTCCCGCTCCTCCCCCTGGTACACCACCCACCTCCGCTCACTGAAAAGCCAGGTGCGGGCTGCTGAACGCACCTGTGTCAAATCTGGCCTAACGGTCCACCGACAAATCTGGCTGGACCTCCTCAAAATTTACCGCTCCACTCTAGCCTCGGCCAAGTCGTCCTTCTACTCCAGGATAATCCTGGAGGCGAAGAACAACCCCAGGCTACTGTTTTCCACCACAACCCGACTCCTCCGTCCCCCCCGCCACCCCGCGCAGGTCATCTCCTCCAACCTTCACTGCGAGGAGATGCTGGATTTCCTTGAATCCAAGATCAAGGGAATCCGCTCCGCGGTCACTTCCCCTCCAACTTCCACCCACCACCCACCCCTTCCCTCCCACACTCCGACTCCTACCCATCCTCCCCTACACACCTTCGTACCCGTTTCCCCACCCTCTGTCACTGAACTCATCCTATCCCTAAAACCAACCACCTGCTCCCTTGACCCCATCCCCACTCCACTCCTTATCTCCCAGCTCCACTTTCTTGCCCCACATATCACTGACATCATCAACCTGTCCCTCTCCTCTGGCTCTGTCCCCATTCCATTAAAAACTGCCATCATCACGCCCACCCTGAAAAAACCCTCCCTTGATGCGTCGCAGCTATCAAGCTACCGGCCCATCTCCAACCTCCCCTTTCTCTCCAAGGTCTTGGAAAGAGTTGTCGCCTCCCAACTGCGCTCTTTCCTTTCCACCCATTCTCTTTTCGAACCCCTTCAGTCAGGTTTCCGTGCTGCCCATAGCACAGAAACTGCCCTGGTCAAGGTCACCAATGATATCCTGACCATCTGTGACCAGGGCTCCCTCTGTCTCCTCGTCCTCCTCGACCTATCGGCAGCATTCGATACGGTCGACCACGCTATCCTACTCCACCGCTTGTCCTCCCACCTCAACCTTCAAGGCACTGTCCTTGAATGGTTTAGGTCGTACCTTTCTCACCGTCTTCATTTTGTCTCGACGAATGGCTTCTCCTCCACCCCCCGCACTGTCTCATGTGGTGTCCCTCAGGGCTCTGTCCTCGGTCCCCTCCTCTTCACCCTCTATATGCTCCCCCTTGGTGACATCATCCGCAGACATGGAGTTAACTTCCACATGTATGCGGATGACACCCAACTCTACCTTTCCTCCTCTACTCTCAACTCCACGACCACCGATGTCCTGACAGCTGCCTGTCCGACATCGAGTCCTGGACGAGAGACAACTTTCTTCAGCTCAACGTGCGAAAAACCGAGGCCCTCCTGATTGGCTCACGTCAGCGCCTCCGCACCTCAGGCGCTGACACCATCAGCATCCAAGGCTGCACTCTCCACCTCTCAAAGCCAGTCAGGAACCTCGGCGTTTTGTTCGACCCTGAGCTGTCCTTTCTCCCTCACATCCGCACCACAACTGGCACCGCCTTCCATCACCTCCGGAACATCGCCAGACTACGGCACTACCTCACCCCTCACGCTGCTGAAACCCTGGTCCACGCCTTTGTCACCTCAAGGCTGGACTATGGGAACTCTCTCCTCGCCGGCCTTCCCGCCACCTCCCTCCACAAGCTGCAGGTCATTCAGAACTCTGCAGCTCGTGTACTGTCCCGCACCAGGCTTCGAGACCACATCACTCCCACCCTCGCTCGCCTCCACTGGCTCCCCATCCCCCAGAGGATTGATTTCAAGATCCTCATCCTCACCTACAAGGCCATTCACGGCCTTGCTCCCTCCTACCTCTCCAACCTACTATCCCCCTACCTACCTGCCCGTACCCTCCGTTCCTCTGGCTCCGGTCTGCTCCACGTCCCCCGCCCCAACCGCCCTACCATCGGTGGTCGGGCCTTCAGCCTCTCAGCCCCAGGCTCTGGAACTCCATCCCCCAGTGCCTTCGCCGCTTCCTCCCTTTCCTCCTTCAAGGCCGGTCTCAAAACCTTTCTCTTTGACCGAGCCTTCAGCTCCCCTCTCGACTCTCTTCCCCCTCCTCGCTCCCTCCCTTCCCTCCCCTCACCCTGACCATTTCCCCCCTCCTTGCTCCCTCCCTTCCCTCCCCTCACCCTGACCATTTCCCCCCTGCTCGGGTCATGACCCAACTGTGCAGTGCCTTGGGACGTCCTCCTGACGTGAAAGGCGCTCTATAAATGGAATCTTGTTGTTGTTGTATTAGCTCCAAACCTTACCAAACCCACATGTTCATCCCACAAAGTTCTACTTTGTAATCAAATCCAACCTCTTTAAACAGCTCACCACACCAGCCCCCCCCACCCCTCTCTATCGGTCTATGTAACAATGTTCGTGACACATTATGCTGTAACACATTATGTTGTTCATTGTGCGTTGCAGATACATTCTTCAGTAACCCACAGGCAACTGTAGCCCTGAGCGAGGAAGATGATGATCCCGATGATGAAGAGGTCGGATGTAGTTTGCTTATTTCGCTGATGCAGAAACACAGACGGCAACAACGGGAATTTGGACAAAACAATGTCGCAATCGGTCTCACGGTGTTCAAGGTATTAGCCCATCTACTATCCTGTCAAACGTTTGTTGGATGAGATGATAAACTGAGGTCCCGTCTGCCTGTTCAGGCGGTCGTTAAACATCCTATGGTGCTGTTCAACAAAACTGCCATGCGCATGTTCACCCACAATACACTGTATAGTTCAAGAGAGCGCTTTAAGACATTAATTTGCATGCAGAAGGCAATGTGTGAATGCGAGTTATTGTTCTGTTATTGAAACAGAAATTAGATTCGTTTCCCATGAGACAACACGTGTCCAGTCAGAAGACCTGCGTAGCAAGGTCCGTATTCACATTTTCCAGGAGTGTGGTCATACGTATGAAGCTGCCCCCTGGAGAGTACATCATCATCCCGTCGACTCACTCCCCCAACCAAGAGGCAGAGTTCACCCTCCGAATATTTACTGAGAAGCAAGAGTCTCTCTGGTTAGTATATGGTTCACTTCAGAAATTCACATTTCAGTTAGAATCCCCATTTGGTGCATTTAGCTCATAGGCACATCACACACTCTGGGATCAGGAGGTTGTAGGTTCAAGTCCCCTCCCCCCACATCATGGACTTTGTGATCTGTCTAGGCTGATGTTCCAGTACGGTGCTGGGGGGGGGTGGAAATGCAGCACCGAATTGTCAGAGATCTTCATCAAAGATCCGGCGCATAGTTGGAAAAGAGAAGGTAGTGTCTCTCTCAGCAAGTCAACAAACCCCTAGATTAATGGAGTAATTTCCTTCATGGCAGAACTAAAATGGCTGCCTAGATTACAGTAAACTCCTGATAGTTAAAATGTAAATGTACAGATTATTTGTGGAACATTACCATTAAACAGGCTGTTTCTTCATATTCCAGGGAGCTTGATGGTCAGATAAAAGCAGACAATATTTGGGTACAGTACCTCATTTTCCATCCCAATTTCTCTTCCAGTCAGCTAATATAGTCCTTCTTATCTCTTATCTCTGTGGAGTCCTGTGGCGTAGTGGTTAGGGCGCTCACCTCGCCAGCGAGAGGACCTGGGTTTGATGGCGAAACTTTAGGCAAGTTTCCTTCCTACACACGCCTGTGTTTACCCAGCAGTAAGTAGGAACCCAGTTGTTAGTCGATGGAGGATCGCTTGCCGGGGTAATAATCCACAAAAATAAACGTGGTCACTCAATCCACGATTGTTTGTGGGACACTGTTGTGTGCAATTGGCTGCTGTGTTTCACCCAAAAGTATACAGTCGATTTACAGAATAAATCTCTACTTAGAAGAACACGAGGTAATTAGAGACCCCCAACATGGATTTGTTAAAGGCAAATCTTGCCTAACAAATCTAATAGAATGTTTTGAAGAGGTGACTGCGAGGGTTGATGAGGGAAATGCGGTGGACCTTATTTACATGGATTTCAAAAAGGTTTTTGACACAGTACCGCATAAGAGATTAATAAAAAAATTAGAGGCCCCCGGTATTAAGGGGACAGTGGCAGTTTGGATTAGGAACTGACTGAGTGACAGAAAGCAGAGGGAGGTGGTTAATGGGTGTTTCTCGAAATGGAAGGAGGTGTGCAGCGGTGTCCCCCAGGATCGGTATTGGGACCACTGTTCTTTCTAATATATATTAATGATCTGGACTTGGGCACAGGGAGCACTATTTCCAAGTTTGCAGATGATACAAAGTTAGGTCGGGTAGTAAATAGTGAGGAGGACTAACCAACTGCAGGCAGACATACACAGAATGGTGGAATGGGCTGACATGTGGCAGATGGATTTCAATGTGTATAAGTGTGAGGTGATACACTTAGTAGGAAAAATGATAGGAGGCAATATAGGTTTGGTAGCTCAATCTTAAGGGGAGGTGAACGTACAGAGAGATCTGGGTGTTCAAGTAAGCGAATCATTAAAGGTAGATAAGGCAGTAAAAAAGGCATTTGGTGTACTGAGCTTTATTAGTAGAGCATAGAGTATAAGAGTAGGGATTATGGTTAATCTATACAAAACACTGGTTAGGCCTCAGCTGGAGTACTGCGTCCAGTTCTGGGCACCTTACTTCAGGAAGGACATTAAGGCACTGGAAAGGGCGCAGAGGAGATTCACGAGAATGATACCAGGAATGGGGAACCTTAGCTATGAGGACAGTGGAGAAGTTAGGACTTTTCCCATTAGAGCAGAAAAGGTTACGCGGGGACCTGATAGAGGTCTTCAAGATCATGAAAGGTTTCGACAGGCGAGATAAGGACAAGCTGTTCTGCTGGTAGGTGTGTCAGTGACCCGTGGTCACAGTCTGAAGATATCACCAAAAGAAGCAGAGGGGAGGTTAGAAGAAATGTTTTCACTCAGCGAGTTGTTGGAATTTGGAATGATCCGCCCGAAAGGGCAGTGAAGTCCGATTCGATAACAGCTTTTAATAGAGAACCGGATAGGTATCTGGGGAAGACGGGTTTGTGGGGTTATGGGGAGAAAGCTGGTGATTGGGGTTAGTGAAAGTGACGCTCTGTTAAAGAGCCGCACAGACTCGATGGGCCGAATGGCCTCCTTCTGTGCCGTAACATTCTATAATCTATGAATTCTCTTTACAATATACAGTCATTCTGAGAAAGCGCATTGAGGCATCTCAACGACATAAGGCGCTATAATAATAATAATCCTTGAATTTGATATCGTGCTTTTCACGTCTAGATGTCTCAAAGCGCTTCACAGAATATACCGTAAAGTGAATTGACTGTATATTTGTGGGCGAAATGCGGCAGCCAATTGCGCACAGCAGCGTCCCACAAAGTCGCGGATTGAAGTGACCAATTTATTATTGTTTTTTTTCTTGAGGGATTAATATTAGGCGTGTGGAGTGTGAAACAAAATATTCAGATTTTTAGTTTCAATGGTTTCAGATCTTGAACATTCCTGCAGTAAATTATAAAAGAAATATACCAGTGATATCAGCTTATGTGGAGGGTTTCTGATCTCTGTAAGCTGAGGGAAAGTGAGTAGGTAAATCAAAACTACCAAATTAATTCCAATGTATTACAAACTTAACCAGGAATAACTTAATTTCAGACTTGCTATATTTGTTATATCAAATGCAAGGATTATTATTACCTCATCGCTTCACTTCCTGTCTCATAATCCTGGTTCACGATGAGCTGAGTGGCCTCTGTAAGTTTCTATGGTACAGTGTAGACTCTCTCAATATTCCAATTAATTGCCCATCTCAGCATCTTCTCAGATCCCAGTGTTTGGGACCACTCCCTGATGTAAAAGGCGCTATACAAATGTAATTTGTTGTTGTTTTGGTCCCCATTTGGCTGGTGACGACCTCTCAATGCTGTTCTGGGTGAATCACTGATTTGGTTTCTTTTCCAGACATTTAAGACAAATATCACCATCAACGACAAGTTCAAAAGTCATTTTATGGCGACGGCTGGTCAGGTAAGAGCTTGCAGGCTGTCCAGATGTTTGGCTCCTTTTACCCGTTTCACTCACTCCCCTCCTTCCCCCCCATCCCACCCCACCATCACTCAGCTCTCCCCCATCACTGGAGGATGAAGGAAGGCCAGAGGGCAATGCGAGGAGCCCCGTGGGGTTTCTGGTGGGGAAACACTACCAAAAAGTTTATACCCCAAACTGTTAATAACGAATTGCATTTTCTTCTACAATTAGGCCATAAGCGTGAGGATGGTGCAGGAAACACTGAATGGTCTTCTGCAATCTCGTAAGCGGATTTCCTTCCTTTACTGGTTCGGCAAAGAGACAGTGGGGATGTGTGTGGGGGGGATGGGGGGGGATGGGGGGGGCGCCAGTGTGGGCCTGTTAAACATGATCAATCTCTGATCAGCAGGTCTCCCATCACCTGGGAGAACTCAGTCCAGACTGACACTCTAATTCAGTGCTGGGGGTGGGTGGGATAGAGGCGCTATTCACTATAAACTGAGCTCCCCAGTCCACACCCTGTTCAGGGGGTCATTAAAGATATTCTGCGGCAGTGTTTAAGAACAAAAGGGAGTTTCTCTCTCGGTGTCCTGGCCGACAATCCCGTAGATAAAATCCCTTCTACACTTTACAGCTGTTTGTGGAACCTCGCTGTGCACTTCTACACAGTCACTTCTACAGTAAACAACAACAATAACAAAATTACATTTATAGAGCGCCTTTCACATCGGGAGGATGTCCCAAAATCCTGTGAACCATTTTGAGACATCTTGATAACACTGTATTAAATGTTACAATTAGTAATTATGTCTTTTTGTTGTAGAACCAGAGTTGAAAACGAATGGCTTTTCTCTGGAGGCCTGCGGCAAAATGGTTCAGCTGCTGGATGTATCCTTAAAAAACTTCCTTACAAAATCCACAATTGCCTGTTTGGAATAGCGCAGTGGAGATGGTTAGCATCAACCTGATCAAGGTGGGAAACAGGAGCTTGGACGTCTCATCCGAAGGATGGCACCTCTGACAACGCCGTACTAACCAGAGCCTAAAACTGTGAGCTCAAAGTCCCTGACGTGGGGCTTGAACTCACAACCTCCAGCTGGGAGGTGTGAGCGAGGGAGTCACAGGCTGACTGCCACCACTAAGGAGAGTATATTAAAGTGAGAGAACATTTTGCTTAACTTTTGTTCAATGTCAGTTCAACAAGAATCACAAACTCGAGGTGGACGAATTTGCTCAGCTCTGGGAGAGGATCACACAGTGGTGGGTATGTACCCAAGTCAATCACCTCAGGGGGAACTATTGGCTCTGGGCAGAAAATTGTGTGTGTGAGCTCCCACGTCAGGGAGTACACCAAAACATTCACACTTGCCAGCAAGGCAGGGAGGGAGTCACTGCAGGGATTTCCCCCACCTCCCTCCCTCTTTGTCCACACTCAGGGAGGCCATATCTATTGTCCACACTGACATAGATGACTGGGAGCCCGAGCTGGAGTGGAAGGATTAGCTGAGGAGAGTGGGAGGAGAAAGGTGGCCAAAAGCATGGTCGGGGCAATGGGGAGGCAACAAGAGGTCACAGAGGCCATGATAGAACAACGAATCTCCCAGGGAACCGTGTCTGTGAATTGGCATTGTATCATCACGTGTGTGTGTGTGTGTGTGGCCACAGTGAACCTCACCTGCTGCAATTTATTTCTCTGTAGAAGATCTTCACCAAGTATGACATGGATCATTCAGGAACTCTGGATGGGTTTGAGATGAGATACGCTCTGGCAAGCGCAGGTAAATCAATGAGGGCAAGAAGGTTAACACGGGACAAACACTAACCCCTGGTTGGTGAGTCAGTAACGAGAGGGCATCGAGTTAAGATCATCAAAACAAGCTACCATGTGAGAGGCATCAATAGCATGCCCTTCACGTAATATAATGTCTTGTCTACCCTCTTGCAGGTTTCCACCTGAACACTCAGCTCAGTGAAGTCATCAACAGGAAATACATGGACGCAAATTACATGATAGATTTTGATTCATTCGTCTCCTGCCTGGTGCAGTTGGTGGGCATTTTCAGTAAGTCCAGTCTGGCACTAACTCTCTATTTTATCTACATTTGTTTCTCTCCTCTCGATTGTCCCCTCCTCTCTTGATCAGCTCACTTCATATTGCTCTGGTCAGAAAATAGGTCAATGTAAAGAATTAGCACTTTCATAAAAACACATAAATATGTAAAAAACAGCATCCGGATCACATCAAAAACATAACCGTGACGGCATTTCTAACCATGTTCCATCTCTTGCAGGAAAATTGAAAAGCCTAGACAAGAATGACACTGGAACCTTAAACATGTCGTATGATGAGGTAAAGGTGGCATTTGAAATATAAAATTATTCTTGCATTTGATAATGGTTTATTGCAAGTGGACCAATCAGAAGCAGCTCACGCAGCTGTATATATAGGCGAACTGATACATGGTGCGATTCACAAGATTGGGGGTTCAGGATTTTGAATTCACATAGTGAGTATAATGCTGTCTGACACTGTGGGCGGTGCTGGGGAGAAAATGCCTCACTGTCAGAGGCATTAATGTAAGCTCCCTGTTAAGGTAGGTGCAACTCGAAAAGAGACAATTTCTCTCTCCGTATCCTGGCCGACATTCCCACAGATAAAATAATCTGTCACTCACTTGACTGTGGGACACTGCTGTGCGCAAATTGGCTGACGCTTTGACAAAAAAATAGTCACTGAACTTCACAGCAAATTCCTGCTTTGTGGGATGGTTCTGATGTGAATGGCGTGATAGAAGTGTAAAATTTCAGAGCGCTTAATAGTGGCAGAGCCAGATGCCAAGACTGGGGGGAGAGAGAGCCCAAGTACATTCAAAGAGGAAGGACTTCAGGTGCGATCTAAAGACGGGCAAGGAGGGTGCAATGCAGAGGGATGGAGTTAATCTATTAATAATGTCTGGTTTCTATTCCAGTGGCTGAAGGTTGCCATCATCACCTAATGAGGAAACGGGTTATAAACCAACAGTCAGGAACAGAGTCACCGGCCCCATTTGCTCAACACCATGAAACTCGCACATCAACCTTGCGCTCCCAATAACCACAATTTTGCTGCCAATCTTCACTATAAATCTTTGCAAATTAATTCATTCTATAGCTTAGCAATATGTGTAATTGATCATGTGTATATTCACGCCTGCGGTAATTTATATCTTTGTATTTGATACAGCACCTTTTGTATTGGGCGCAAAACAGTTCACAGGAATCTAAGTGTAATGACTGTTTTGTAGTAGTTTTAACGTCCACCCGAAAAGGCATGGATGGGGATCTGGGTTTAACATCTCACGGGCAGTCCAGCACCTCCCTCTCTAAACCTACACTGGAGAGTCAACCACCATTGTGAGTTCAGAGTCCCCATCGAGGGCTTGAACCCATCAACTCTGAATTCAGAGGCAAGAGAAACTGCTACCGACTATAACCTCCAAGCAGGAAAATACTTCTAAAGATCAAATAATTCGGATGGAGAAAGCCCTGACACTCTCACCCCTGGAAAAGCCCGAGGCGAATTCCCTCTCTGCCTTGACAATGTGGGCAGCAATTAAAGGGGAAGCTCTCTCACCAAGCATTCGGAGAACGAAATGACAATCAGCACTGCCGCAGATCAGACAAAAGTTTAAAAACCATCCGCTTGAGAAAAAATATTTTCCCCACAGCTTTCTCACCAATTTCTTTTTGTATTCCCAATCCCGGCCATCAGGAGGCAGCAGAGGGCAGCGTTACGGGATTCTCCAGCAAGTGAACGAAGCTGAACCTGGTCACTCCTGTCGCAGCCGCTCTCCTTATGTTCAACTATGACCCAATAAACAGAATTTACAGATTGAAAAAAAATACATCTCCTCTCCTTGCTATCGATCGATCGGGTTTCTTGTATTAAATAATCAATCAATCAGGTAACCCTCCAAGGGTCAGGGAGGGAATAACCAGCCGGGCGAGGTTCCTGATCCTCATCTCTCAGGGCAGGAATGGCTATATTCTCGGTCTCCAGCTCAGTACATTACACTTTCTCTGTTGCTGACATGTGCAACTCCACTGCGAGCTCTATGTGAGGCTGCAGTGGACAGAGACTCCAAGCCGTGTCCTCGTAAACACTTTGCCTCACTTCTGTGTTTTCACTTCTACCGTCACTGCCTTGACATCAGTCCCTGTCACTAGTTCTGGCTTGAGATGGGCTTCTGGAGCTCAGTCATTGCAACTGCGAAGAGCAAAAACAAGAGAAACACAATATCTTCATAATATAATCTCAAATGAGGTTTGGATGAAGACTATTTCCCACCAGTTCTCCCATGGCAGCACATCAAATTGCCTCTTAAACATCCCGCATCCCTGGTTAACTCTGTTCCCTCGGCTTATTCCCCTCAGTGCAAAGAAATACTTCTTGGATCTATTGAAATGGACCCCCAACCCTACTCCACCCACCCAGACCAGCGTCCTCTTGTCCCACTGCCTCAAAATCAAAAACTATTATAAACAGTTTGTTTGTAAAAAGAGATCAAATTTGCTTTAAGATTCCATTGTTTATTACAAAACCATTTCTTTAATAAATAGCTTAATATAAATGTGTACAAAAATGCTCACTTGTTTTAGAGTAGGAGATTTAGACTATACAGTGGAGGGGAGAGCAGAGGAGGGGAGAAACGGGTGGATGGGGGGGGCGAAAGAGAGAGAGAGAGAGAGAGAGAGAGAAAAGAGCACGAGAGAGAGGTCAAAGATTGCCAGTTCATTCTGCATCCTTCATGGTTTGACAGAACAGTTGATGTCCTATAATGAAGTCAGGTAAGGCCCCCAAAATATTTCTATTGAAAATATCATTTTCCAAAATGAGGAGACATTTTCCCCCTATTCCTCCACGGCCCCTTTGAACAGTAAAACAAAATTGACAAGACCGAGCTTCGATAGTATATATACAATCATCTTGGTCTACAGGGTAAACGAGCGTAGGCAGAAAGTGGTGGTACCTAACCCTTCCCTACATAGTCAACCCAACCCCCACCACAAGTGCCCAGGATAGAGTTGAGATAGCTCAGTGCACTGCAATCGTGGACACTACCACTCCCCCCCAGGAATGTTTGGAAACAGAAATTAAAAAAAGGCAATCTTTTTGTCGACAGGACTGTGTGTGGGTGTTGTCTCAGTGTGTGTATCAATGTGTTGGTAGATGGATGTTTATTTGGTTTCCTGGTAACTCCATTCCTACTATTCATTCCCTCTCTGTTCTTCCCTTCCCCCTCCTCCAACCTCTCAATACTTGAATTATTCTGCTGAAGGTCATCCAAAGAGACGGTATCCCTTTAAGTAGCGGAACACAGCGTTGAGAAGTTACACCCCCCAACCTCCATGTTAATGTTCGACAACATGGACCAATTGGTGAGAACGTGCGCACACACACACACCACACACATACAGACACACAAAGAAAATACCATTTCTTATCCCCCACCCCCAAAAAAAGTGTAGCATCAGGGCTCTAAAATTAGCTTTCATAATTGATCGTGGCTTCCCTCAGTCAATTACTCTTGATAAACCTTTGACGAGTCAAACACAAATTCAACATAACCAGATACCTTGCTTTGCAGGACGCAACCTCAGCAAGTCTACCTCAATGTTCACTCCCTACCTCAATGGAATGCATTATTCCAGGGAAAGATTAGCTCCATTCCTTTACCTAGATATTAAACCACCAATGGAACATTGAGGAATATACATGTACTTCAATTAAGCTGGGATTTACCCCTTGTCGGCAGTTTAAGGCTTGCTCTTCGTGGCCAATAAATCATAGGAAAGAAAAAGGAAGCTCTAAGAGGAGGAGGGAAATAGAGGAGGATAGAAGGGGCTTAAAAAAACATTCCAGCCAGCTTGCAGATGAAGCCAGAACAGAACTACAATCACATACAGCATCATGGCCCAGTGTTGAGTTGATTGATAGCAATGCGTTTTAATGCAGAGAAAAATCATCAAGGTCTGCCCTTGCCATAAAGCCATTGATACCATTGGTGGAAGAGGCTTCATTGGCTGAACAGTCTCCACCTGTTCCTCCTCACCTGGACAACACGACCCGTGCAGAGGCCATGCACAGATCAAGTAGACAAACTAACAGTAATGACCCAAAAGCCTTGGCAGAAGGCAGGTTAACCTGCATGGCACGACAGTGTGAACACTTAAACAACAAGGTGACTCACTGAATAATAAAAGGGGAGTGTATGCAATGTAGAAAATATCCCTCTCCCCCCATATTTTCACAGTGACGGAGCTTGCAGAACAGCAGCTTGTCTCCAGGTCAATGGTGGAGCAGCCAGTCGAGGTACTACAGGTAAGGGGGGAATAACTTGTTTCTCTTCCATGGAGGAAAGGGTCCTAGCAAAGCACTCTGGGACTCTTGAAGATGGAATGGGACAAAGAATTCATGGAATTAAATTGAAATGGCAAAGGAGGAAACTCAACAAATGAAAAGCATCAAAGTTTGCTGCTCGCAGACAGTGGGCATGGCAGGGGGCGGGCTGTGGGAGGAGACCCTCTTGCTTGAGTTTACTTACGATGCGCTTTTAATTTATTTTTTAAAAAGAAAAAATTCTCCAACCACTCTCTCAATCTCAAAGGCAAATCAAATTATAATAAACATCTCGCCTTTCCTAAAAAAAAATTAAAAATCCATTTTCATCTCTGTATTTGAGGGTTTCTTCAAATTCATTAGGTAAAGAGGTTAAATAATGCACATTGCATTGCTTCGCAACATGGTTTTATGCTAATCACATTGTTCCTGGCTGAGGCGATAAAAATACTTTGGGTCTCAATATTAGCTTCAAATTAATTTTCAAAGAAAGGCTTCCAAGGAATTTCAATACTACACAACAGTTATGAAATGTGAAAAATAAATTTGTTTAAACATCACTTACAGCACACGTTCAATTTATATCTGAAAACAGGTAGTGTATTGTACAAGGGTCAGAGATGGAGACACAGAGAGAGTGGGGCAAGGGGGCACAAGCACATAGATAAATAGATATATAGAGACAAACACACAAAGAGAGACACACACAGACAAAAACAAGCTAAACAGAGAGAGTGAACGAGCAGGGACACACACACAAACACACACACAATGAATAGAATCTTTACTCACAAGGTGCGCTGAGCACCTTAAAGCGATAGGTTTTCAGACCAATATTGCATTAGTACATACACCCATTCATTGGGCCAAGCTTTGAAATGCATGGGGACAAAGATACAATGCGTTTGAAGGGGACAGACCCTGGCTTCTCTAAAGCTGAGCCACTTACCTAAACCAAGGTCAACAACAAAGGCAGGGTGATATCAGCAGGTACACCATACACCCACCGTTACTGAAAATCTGGTTCTTGATCTCTTCCACGCCCCCAAGTGTTCACCCAACAATTTACAGAAATCCACTTCCAATCTCAATACTTCCATTTAACCTCAAAACTCTGAATGTAGAAGGGAATTTAACATTCTCTGCAATATGTTGCACCTGAGCACACCCCAGCCCCTAAACTCCATCGACTCACAGTCAACTCATTGTCCACTGATAGATATCCAGTTACAGCAGCTGGCTCTGACCTGCTGAAATGCTCTTTTCAAATCAACATCGCAACCAAAATACACAAGCCTGCTGCCAGCTAATAGATATTCTGGCATCCATCCAGCAGCAAAAAAAATTGGCTGATCTGGATCTCTCAATCCCCTTGATTTGGGGCCGGGTTGAAACAAGATTTCTAATAACCAAGATTCAAAACAATAATAAAGGGAGGGAAAGAGAAAAAGGGGAGGAAAAGAGACAAGCGAGATTCCATTTGACCCACGGAATGGTGTTTCATTCTGTAGTAGCTCCCGATCTCAAACTTCACAGCTGATCACCCCCCCCACCCACCCCATACATACACACACACACACACGCTTGCGCACACACCCACATACAGAGCAGACATAGTATCTACCGTTATCTACATGGAACCTTTTGCTGAAGTGGATAAGGTTAAGGATCCAGTTGACCATTTCATTTCGTAATTTTTTCCCATCATCTCTACGTGATGGGAAAAAGTACGTCTAGTACGTCTCTCTGACTCAAATGTTTCACATTTGCCTTTAAATAACGTGGATCCGAGGACCAACATCCCTCAGAAAACCACTTGTAAACCTTTCTTTCCTTCCCTTCTTCCCTATTCCCCTCCACCCCCAACAATAAAAACAAAAGCCTCAACTGATGGTTACACTGATAGGGTTGTGATCTACTTTTTCTTAAACTAATTTTAAAAACCCCAAGAATACATTGAGTGCGATATTATTTGGATCTGATATTGGGAACTAGTTTTCACAAATACCATCAAGGTTGGTTCACGTAAAAGGGATACCGTCTCTTTAATGAGCCGTGATGTGGATCTCTAGCACAACACTGCACTAATTCTGGGCAAAGATACTACTTGAGCCAACTGAGTCATCTAGTGTAAGTTCTAGCTCCAAGGCCACCATTGTGATTGGGTGCAAGATAGCTGTCTGAATGGGGAGTGGGGGAAAAGGGCGAAGAGTTCATTTCTGAAGAACTGTACGGAGACGACACCGGGTTTTGAGCCACCGGCGTGGACTGCGGTTGCCTCAAGTTCAGGATACTGTCAATGGCGCTCTGCAAGTGCTCATTCAGTCGGTCGTCTTGGGGGCTGTCACTGGAGAAACTTGCATTGTCCATGTCGAATGACTCCGACTTGCTCCGCTTGGTGGGGGGGAGCTGGAGCTCCCAAGCCCCGTCGTCGGGCGGCTCTGCTTTGATTATACCGTGCATTAACTCATCTTCCACATCGGACAGTTCCTTCATGAGGCTTGTGGCTCCATCGTCTCCTTTTCCAGCAGACGGCTGCTCAGATTTGGGGGGCAGTAGGTTTGTATGAGTTCTTGCCTTCTTACTGAACCTTGAGACCTTGAGGGTGTCCTCCGATTTGCCTTTCCCCATCCTAGCCTTTGGAATTCCTGTTGACTTGCACGTGGCTATGACACTTTTAGAACTTTCTTCCGATTTGGATGCCGTTTGCCTCCTTCTGTCCTCCACCTTAACACACCCAGTCAGTGATGGGCTACTAGAAGTTCGGTCAACTGAGAGCGACTGCATTTTGTCTCTGTATGTCTTGCGTGGTGGAAGCTTGCAGTAATTGGCCCCCCTAGATGAGGGTGTGTGATCGAGGGACCCGTTGACCTGACCCACACTGGTGACCGCCGGGCTCTCTGTGCTTTTGATTACAGACCTCGTTGTAACAACCGGATGATGAACTGGGTCGAGGGCTGTGTTGTGCACCACTTTACTGAGCCCCGCTTCTTGCTTGATCTTTAGCTTCAACCCAATCCTACTGCGCGCCTCATAGGTTTTCATGGGAGGTGGTCTACTCCGGGTATGGAGGGTCTCATCATCCCCGTCCAAGGAGGGAGTGGCTTTTGCCCACGAGACCGAAGGGGAGCCCCCAGTGTGCTTAATCACCAATTTGGTTGGGTTGATTGGTGTCGCAATTTGAGTACAGGGGATTCGAGGAGTTTCTACTGAGGCGGATGAAGTGTGACTGGAAGGGAGTGAAGAAGAGGTAGCCAGACCGTGATATCTATAGGAAGATGCCATATATTCATCTAGGGTGGGCGAGGGCCGGGGGGATGGAAGAAAAAGGAAATTAAGAATTGCAACACTTAATTAGAACAAGCAATAGAAACAAAATCAACAGCCAGGCGACTGGCAAACACAATCTAACCCACTTTGTTGCGGCCAATCATAACAGAGAGATAATTTTTTTTTTTAAATCCACCCACATTAGATAGCTCCTGTGTCCACATTTGATACCTACTCTCTGAGGCACAATAGCGGTCCCACATCTCCACCTAGTCTTGATCTGTGATTTACGTAAGACTATGGTATTGGCGCAGAAACAATCTAGTCTGTGCTGGTGTTTATTGTTCACCCTCCTTATTTCCTTCCTTATTCATTAAAACAGCAACGTGCGTTATACAGCGCCCTTCACATGAGGTAGCGTCTTGGAGCACTTATAATTTGCAAGATAGCACAGAATTGGGGAAAATTTTAATTTGGGGGACAGCTCTTTGCAGTTCTGTTAAAAAAGAAAGCTTCCAATTTAATAACAATTAACAATGTTTGCAATTAATATGGCACCTTTCACTTTCGGAGGATTCAGATCCCATTGGCCCCTACCCCGATGCCTCTTAAAGTGCTACATTCAGCTTCCGTGCTCCACAAATCTTACCAGGTTTCTCTTTTGCCAGCTGTTTGTCAGTGGTGAGTGCTATTTTTTCTTCTTGTATAAACATCCTGTCAATCATCACCATCTCAGCCGACGGGCTCAACCTCTGAAAATTCAACCAAAGACACAGTGAAAACCAAAGCCCCACTTTGTGATGCTTAGCAAAGAAAGTGCAGTCACACGTGCCCAGTGGCAAATGATTCAGCACCTCTCAGGGCAGGGCAGCATCCCAGGGGCTTCTTAAATGATACCTAATAATCCTTGCATTTGATTACAAGCACCTTTCACATCTAGGCTTCCATGCAATGTAGTCACTACATTTTACAAAGCAACAACAAGATTACATTTGTGTAGCGCCTTTCACGTCGGGAGGACGTCCCAAGGCGCTGCACAGTGTACAGCATTTCAGACTCGAGCTGGGGTCAGGGGGGAGAAGGGAGGGGGGTGGGGAAGGGGGCTGACTGATGGCAGGATCGAAGAGGAGGGTTTTGAGGCGGGATTTGAAGGAGGCTAAGGAGGGGGCGAGGCGGAGTGACTGGGGGATGGAATTCCAGAGGTTGGGGGAAGAGCGACTGAAGGCTCTCCCACCAATGAGGGGGTGGGTGGGTTGGGGGATGTGGAGCAGCCCGGAGCCGGCTGAGCGGTGGGAGTGGGCGGGTTGGTAGGGGGTAGGAGGTCGCAGAGGTTGGGTGGGGCAAGGCCATGGAGGGCTTTGTTGATGAGGACCAGGCTCTTGAACTGGATCCTCTGAAGGATAGAGAATCGGGCGAGAATGGGGGAGATGGGATCACGAAGTGCATCCTATGAAGTGCATTGAGACATCCTCCCAAAATGAAAGGCGCTATTCCAACTGCAAGGATTATTATGGTTATATAACTTGGTCTGGGCTTGACTGCAGTTGGTCGGACAGGGAAGCCTGATGTTCTAAATATCTACTCCCCTGACCTGACAGTAAACATTTTAAACTCCACACAGACCAATATGACAGACCGGGCTCAATCATTCCATTGCAAGACATGGTGCACAGAGGACAAATACAATACAATTTACATTTATATAGTGCCTTTCACATAGGGAGGTCTCAAACCACTTCGCACTGCTTGCTAGAGAGGCACCTGAGCTGTGGGTGGGAGTCGAGGTGTGGGGAAAGATGACTGAAGTGCGGTCACAGAGGTATGTTTGATATGGACCTTGAAAGAGGGGAGGGAGTCAGAGGAGAGTTCCAGAGAGTGGGGATAGAAGCTGAAAGCTCAGACGCCAATGTTGGAGCAGATTGGGTGGGGATGAGGGAGGGGGGAATAGTCTTGTGGACGAAGGGATCAGCGGGGTCTGTAGGGAGTAAGGAGGTCACAGAAACAGCAATGTGGGAAACAAATGAATTACCCTGGCCTCCTCGATTAGCAGCATTCTGTACTTGTTCAGCATGGCCTGGGTGCGTTTTAATAACTGCGTCGATACCGTCTCAAACTCATCATCCACTAGAAGAAAGACATTAGAGTTACATATTTCAATTATAAAAACTTCTACAATTTTTTTGGGGGAGGAGAGAGGGGGAAGAGTGGAGGAAAGAGAGCGGTGTAGGAGAGGCAGTAACTTTTTAGATTCGAGTGGGGAGGGGAACGAATGAATCAGACACTACACACACACAGGAAATTAATGGAAATAATATTCCTAGTATTTAATAAAACCTCTTATTACATTGTTGAGGAATCAAAAAGGGCGTCACAGAATATTATTGTGAAATGTACTGACTGTATTTGTGGGCAAACGCAGCAGCTAGTTTGCTCATAGCAACATCCCACAAACAGCCATGAAGTAAATGACCGATTTTAATTGGGGGATTGTTGGCCAGGACACCAGGAAACATTCCCTTCTCCCCGAGCAGTGTCATAGGAACATTAACAACAGATTGATCTCTGGTTTAATGTCTCATACAAAGGATAGGATCTCCGACAATGCAATGCAGGCCCCATCCCAACCCCCCAGCACTGCACTGGAGCATCAGCCTGAACTGTGAGTTCAGGGCCTGAACACAAAACCTTCCGACTCAGAAGCGAGAGTGCTACCGACTGAGCCAGGCAAACGATGCTGATATACATTAGAGCGCACATCTGTGAAAACTCCATGCAACAGTGTTGTGCAACACTGAGGTGGTGGTGTGGGGTACGCAGAAGGGGTACATTAGAACTGTAGAGGATTTTGCTATGTAACAGAACCGGCGAAATTTTCAACATAGAAGGCCGCTCGGCTCATCATGTCCGACTCGCTTAAAGAGCAATCCTTTTGGTCCCATTTACCTGCCGTTTCCCCATACTCCCGCACTGTACTCCTGTTTAGTTAGGTAGGTGACATATATATGTGGAACTCAGTATAGTTTGGGGACTCATAAGCCTAGCAATGGTCCCCCGCAGATGTCAAGACACCAGACTGACCAAGTTTTATTGATTATTAGATTACAGTGACTGATCTACCTGACTTGTCCCTGTACCCTGTAACCGCTAGAGGATGCCATGGATCAAGCCCTTCTCCATACCTTTCTTGTATTCCTCCCTAGAAGGCAGTGTTCCCTGGTAAAGGTGATATGGCACGAGCCTGTGCATCACGTCTGCGTGTGACTGGAAAGGCGGTTTGTAACCGGGTTGTAACACTGCGTTCTGATCCTTCAGCAGGCGGTCCAACAATCTGCAAAACAGAAACACACGGTTAAACCCTAACACATGCCCATCAGCCAAAACATCTCAAAGCACTTTGCAGGCAAGTAGCTGTCTAGTTGGCTACTGTCAATGTGTAGACACAGCAAGATGAGGTCCCACAAACAGCCATAAAGCAAAGTACTCCTGGAGATTATCAGCCAGGACCCTGGGAGAGAAAAACTCCCTTCTCATTTTTCAAATGATACCATGGGATCTTTAACGTCTACCTGAACTCACAGATGGGGCCATGGTTTGAGGGACAGTACCTCTCTCCTTCCAACAATGCAGCCGTACTCAAGCGTCAGCCTCGACTGTGAGCACAAAGTCCTGACGTGGGGCTTGAATGCACAACATGGAACTCCCTCTCTCTACTCCTCTCTCGATTTCTCTTTAGTTTCTGCCTTAAAACCCTATCTCTCTGACTACGTCTATGGTCACCCTCCCTTTCGCAGAGCACAGAACGACTGCGATTGCTGCAAAGGAGAGCGAAAGGTCAGTACTCACACAGCCTCTTTGGTTGGCTGCAACGTTGAAGCGGCTTTCAGGCCTCCAAGTTTGCTGTCATTCTGCGAGAAGGTTGTGTTGTAGGAGTAAGAAACAAAATAGAAGTTGAGCACAGAAGCCGATTCACCAACAATATAACAATAATCAACAATTTAATAAAAATAACAAAGATTGTGAAGGACATCTCAGGTTTGTAATGTTTGAGGGAAGTTATTGAACCTCAACTCTCGTAATTGCAACACGACACGTTTCCACAAAGAAAGCTTTCAATAATTACTGGCACAGTCAAACAGTAAGGTCTTCAGGTGTGATCTGAAGGGGGGACAAGGCAGAGGGTTTGGGGCAGAGGGTTCCAGAGTCTTGGGGCAGAGTAGCTGAGAGCACAACTGCTGATGGTGGAATAGAGGGGATGAGGGCGTGTAGGAGGCCAGAGCACGCTGAGCAAAGGGAACAAGTAGAGAGTGGGGGTGTCGGCAGGTTGGACAGGTAGGGAGATCCCAGAACATGAAGCGATTCCGACGTTAGATGTGAAATCGATGCGCTGACATCAAGATAAAACAGGACAAAGACTTCATGCTTCTAAAGTTACTTACAGCAATGAGATGATGATCTGGGAAATCAGTGATAAAATAGTATAGAATATAGAAATGTCACAAAAATATTCATGACTTCTCGCGACCACCCCGAACATCAGCCTGAAAACAGACTTGTCTCACTGCTACCCACCTGCTGATTTACCTGTACAGATGTTGCTGGCATAATTTGTGTTAACCCTTTGCCGACAAGTTGGAGTTGTATCCCTCTGGAAAGGCTGAGGCCTGGCATCGAGCTGATCACTCCCGGCTTTGTCTGCTGGCACCAAACATAGTCCATATCAGCAATTAAGCAATACAGCATAATAATAATACTAACAATAATCATAGGTCAGGTCCGCACAGGGGCAGGCATGCACAGTGGCAGGCACGCACACACAAGCAATGCCCAATCTCTACCTGTAAACCCGACTGAATCTGTGAAGTGGTGGGTTTCATCTGCAGAGGGACACCTTTGCCCTGCTGTAGTTGAGAGGTCACTGTGGCAGCACCGCCCGAGAAAACCTTACTGTCCGGCGACCTCATGCTGGTGCCTGGCCAAACAACACAAAGGTCAATGTGTGGAAACCCCGCATGGGGAAAAACAACAAGGCGTATTCATACAGAGCCATTCATATCGGCACTGCCCATAGAGAGGGTAAGAGACCAAGCAGGAGAGAGCAAAGAGGGGAGAGGTGATCGTAGGCACTATCAGGAGACGGGGGTTTAAGGCGGTACTGAAACACGGTGAAGCCCACAGCTGCTTTTTACGTTGCTCACCTGCTCCGGATGTCTTGACGAGGACCGAGGTTTGCTGCAGTAGAGTGGCCAGTGCTGGTTGCCCAGCACCCTGGGTCTGGGGCTTAGCAGTCGCTGAGCTGCTCTGGACCTGTTGCTGAACGCTGGAAGACTGCACATGACTGCTGATCAGCATGGTGGGTCCCTGGCTGGTCAACTGGCTCAGACTACACACAGTCTGGTTAGCTGGAGACTGCTTTGCCTGAAGAATTATATTGTGTTGCATCTGTTGGAAGTTATGAACCAGAATAAAATAATAATACTTGCATCCGATACAGCATTTTTTTTTTCACGGCAGGAGGATGGGACATTTCAAAGCACTTCATGGGATTTATGGAAAAATTTAATGACTGGGCGTGCGTATAGGCAAATGCAGCAGTCAACTTGTGCACAGCTGTGAGGCGAATGAGCAGTTTTTAATTCAGGTGTATTGTCGGCCAGGATACCAAGAGAAATTTCCTTCTCTTTTAAATATCTCCATGAGATCCTGAATGTCCACCTGGACAGCTCATCCAAAGGCTGTCAACTCTCCTCCTTCCCTCCTCGCGATAACAAGGCAATGTCCGCCAAACACCAGCTGACAGGACCACCTACCTGCTGAAGACTCTCCACTTTGCTCTTTTGTTGCTGAGTCGGGTTTTGAATGGTGGCCATGGCCTGCAGTTGGTTAGTGACCATCTGAAACCTCTGCTGCTGCTCGGTAGTCAAGTGTAAGGTCTGATAGACTGGTTGCAGAGTGTTCTGAACAGGGAGCTGGTGTTGAGGCTGGCAATGGAACTGGAGCTGGATGTGCTGAGCTTGGGACTGGACAGAATGGTGCTCTCCTTGGGCCTGGGACGAAGATGCTGACGGGTGTAAATGGTGAACCTGTTGCTCAGGCTGAGGCGAGGGCTGAACCTGAAGATGTACCTGGTTGGCTGAGGTTAACTGGGACTGGGGCTGCACCTCCGCTTGAAGCTGCGTCTGGGAGGGGCTCTGGAATTGGACTTGAACTTGTGGCTGCGATGGGGGCCTGATGGGGTGCTGAGCTTGAGCAGAGCCGTGAGAGGGCGGCTGGATTTGTGTCTGGATCACGTACAGGGGCTGCAGAGGAACCTGGGACGGAGTGCAAGAGCGCGATAAGGGCTCCGAAGGTGGCCGGGACAGCACCTGGGGCTGAGAGGGGGGCCGCGACTGTGGTCGGGACGGGGGGCGGGACAGAGGCTGAGGCTGAGAGGGAGGACGGGACTGGTGCGGAGACTGCATCTGATGCGGAGACTGCATCTGGTGCGGAGACTGCATCTGGTGCGGAGACTGCATCTGGTGCGGAGACTGCATCTGGTGCGGAGACTGCATCTGGTGAAGGTGAGAGGCCTGCAGTTGGCTTTCACTCTGTGGTGTCTGAGGTAGAGGTGACTGAGATGTTACTGGGATCTGCTGTATGGTCGTCTTCTGACCAGCAGCCATCTAAAGACAGAGTGAAACAGTACTGATGGTCACAATATTCTCAGCGCATCATGTTCACTTCCGCCAGACCATCCCATAGTCCACATAGCACCATCGTTTTGCAATATTCCCTGATTTTCTTTTTACTTACTCCCGAGCTTACTCATTAATAATATGAAATAATAAACGTTGCATTTGATACATCACCTTTCACAACCAGAGGACATCTCAAAGCGCTTCACAGGATTCATTGCAAAACGTAGTAATTGTGCGTTTTGCAGGCACGCGCTGCGCACGGCAAACAGCCACAAATGCGCATGAACAAAGTACATTTTTGCACACACACATTTTCCTAGGCACATAAAGGGAAAGCGAAGTGTTAAACAATAAAAGACGAAATGAAAAGGTAGATGAACAGAAGCTTCAAGCCGAAAGGTAGGACAATTAGAGAAATACTATTTGTCAGGCGCACGGTCAGCTGGACTATCAAACGGCTACAAAGAGAGGAATAGTCAGCTGATAAAAAGCATCTTTAAGGGGGTTGAGGTTTGATCTCCCATCAATAACGCCCTTTGCTCTCTCTCATTTAATTACCATCAATCTAATAATCTTGGAGGGAACTGAATTTTGGAGATTTAACTACAAAGCAGGGTGGGGATGGGGATGATGGGGAAGTAAGGCAGAGAATTAATTATTTTTGATAATGAGCCCACAAGGATATTGCTGAGAGATGGGAAGCCTTTACTAATTGGGAACAATGTGGGAATTCAGGCCAGAGTAAAGCTCCACCCCTAATGCAACGCCATGCCTCAGGAGAAGCTCCATCGCTGCTCCAAGGAAGTGTGACGGACGTCACTTGTTCCCATCTACGAGGTCATCAATTTAATGGTTAAAGCAAGTTAGATCATTCCCCCTCTCCCCTCGCCCACAGTTGGCATAGATACTGTTGACTACGCCCATCATACTCAGAAGCAGTAGCGAGGTTAGTAAAGAGCAGCAGAGCAGCTGGAGAGCGAGAAGTTGGGGAAGAAATTGGGGTATTGAGGGGTAAGGGCTGACCTGACCGGCCAATATCTGCTGGTAATGACCGCCTGACAGCTGAGGTAACACTGTTTGTCCTTTGGAATCCACATTTCCTGCACTGGTTGGCGTGTGTGCCAGAGCCACGCCACTGCTGACGATAACCGAAGCTGGGACGCTGCTAGTGGTCACCGTCGGAGCTAGGCTGTGAGGGGACGGCTGATTCAGGCCCTTTTCCTGCTGGAGTTTCAGCGCTGCATGGTACAACTGCTGTTGCTTCTGCTCCTGCTGTAATGTGCAACACAAAGGCATGATGAGCATGGCTGTTGATGGAGGCTTGGCACTTCAGAAATCCAAACGAGACCTTGAAGCACACCAGAGATGGGCATATCTTATTGAGGGTGGGGTGCAGAGGGGGAGGATGATAATATGATGGGTAGGTAGGTATCCTTTCCAAGCTTTACTGTTTTCCTTTTCCCCATGCCTCCTCTCCCTCTCCCCACAAGCTTACCTCTTTGATCACCTGCGATACTCCTCTCCCTGCCCACTGTAACCCATCAGCATCGGCAGGTAAGATTTCAGCCGTAATGTTCCCACTCTCTGGAATTAATTCTCTCTCCCCAAATCTCTCCCTCTTCGCTTTCGAAACCTTTCTAAAAAAAATTAATGTCTTCCAGTGTACCCTCAGCCAATTCCCTCCTCCCTCATCAACTCCACCCCACCCCCCACTCCCATATGCTCCAGCTCCCACTCTGACTCTCTGTCCATCATCTTTTGAGACGTTTTCCCTGCAATGAAAGGCGCTAGATAAGTACGTGTTGCTGTTGGAGAGACTGAAGAGGTCTCCACTATATGGCACTATGGTCATGAGGAGAAATCACTGATTGCTGTAGAGCAGCATAGAGTGTTAGCCAAGGAGGGTCTAAGAGCAGGTTAGTATCCTGGAGGCTATGATTCGATCGCAACATGGAGTGGCAGAAGGTCTCACAATTCCCATTTGCTGTGTTACTGAACGCTAGACATTTCAATGAGGGGGTAAAAAGCAAGAGGAGGAGAAGTACTTGAAGAGGAAGAGCAACGGAGAGCATCTCCAATCCCATTGTAATGGCCACTCACTCAATGTGGGCCTTGATGCAGTGAAGACCAATAAAGAAGGGGAGGAAAGAGATGGGGAGAAACAAACACACAACAGGACGAGATGGTTTATACATCTGTAAATGTGATACCACTCCCAAGATATATTTTCAAAGGTTAAAGGATCAGTGTCTTGGATCCAGCAATGTTGTAGGCTCGCTCTCAGTTGTAATAGCATCGAAAATAATGTTTAAAAGAAGTTTTTTTTGTCTTAAAACACCTTGAAAATAAAAGTAATGAATTTGTTACTGCGCCTTTCATGTAGGGAGAATGTCTCTTACCCCACAGCATGGTGTTGGAGTCTCAGCCTAGACTAGGAGAGTTCAATGTCCCAACATGGGGCTTGAACCCACAACCTTCTGACTCAAAGTTCTAGAAAGTTGCTGGTACCAAGTTCAAAACAACCTAACCTAACTCAGTTAAATTTACTCAAGTAAATAACGTCCACATCATTCATTGTTTCTATATAATATAATATCTAAACCCTTTTACTTTTCATTTAAAAGTTACCTGTGGGGCCGAAATTCTACCTGGGTCTCGATTTACTCTATTTACATCACATTTCAGAGCGTCCAGAATTTGGTCAATTTATGAATTCAGGCTCAACTTTGAATCCTTTTTTCGTAGTTTCTTAATAGAACGTAGATCAGCTTGTCTGCTGAAGTATCAATCCAGGTCAATAACTTCCAATACCTAACCCCAATTATGCGATGACTTAAATTTTAATGTGAAAGAAACTGCTGGAGTCCTCAAAAAACTACTCTAGTCATAACATGCCTCATCGGTCAACCACATTTAACACGCAAAGCAGACACGAGGCGCTTTATGTTACCTGTTGGAAGAATATCTGGGCTGCGTCTGGATTCATACTCCCTCCTGCCCCCTGCTGGCTGATGATGATTTTCCCAGGAGTGGGAGCCATGGAGCTGGGCTGAGACACGGTTGCTAGTTGCTGCTGAATGGGATGTTGCTGTTGCTGCTGCTGGGGCTGCCCTTGAGACTGAGAGGCCGTCTGGACGGTCAGTAATGAGGGCTGCCCTCCGCCAATGGTCATCAAGCCAGGGCCAGATTGCTGTTGCTGGATTACGCTCGAGGCTTGGACATTGGCGGATTGCTGAATGCTGACTGTCTGCCCCAGGCTCTCGTTGCTATTGAGCATGGTCAGCCCTTGAATGAGAGTCTGGCTCTGTTGGTTGATGGTGCCACTGGTCAAGGCAGATGCTTGAGTCTGAGAGTTTAGGCTGTTTCCCAACGAGACTGGCATCTGAAAGACGCCCCCAGGCTGCAGCTGGATCGGAGCTGCCAAGATGTGGGCATTTTGTGCCGCAAGCACTTGGCTGAAGTTCAGCTGCCCCGCGAGGCTCTGGTTGGTCAGGATCTGAGAACTTAACGCTTGGTTGGCGATCAGCTGGCCTCCTGGTCCCTGGCTAGCGATAATGTGGGTGGCTGGGGCCTGACCGCCGGCTGACTGGGCTGTCAGTAATTGACCGCTGGCCTGCAAGGCTGAGAGCTGCTGTTGAAGGGGAACGCCCGAAGCCCCGACAGCTGGCTCTGCAGTAGGAATTGGTTCTGACCGTGCAGCACAGCCTGCTGGACGTGTTGGGGTTGGAGGACGATGCCACTTTGGTTGACAAGCTGTAGGTTGAGCGACTTGCCGAGCGCCTGCTGAGCCTGGTGCGACTTGAAGACGGTAGAGGAGAGGGTCTGGGGAAAGCCAGCTCCCGGTGTGGAGAACACCACATTCTGCCCTGACTTCCCCGTCATGAACGTCACGTTCTGCTGAGCCGCCGCCTTCTGCTGCTGCTGCTGCTGCTGCTGCTGTAGGGCATTCTCGCTCTGGATGGTCAGCGCGGCGTTGGCAGAAGGGAACGTCTTTGAGCTGATCTGAAAGAGCTTAGGCTGAATGACTCCCGCTGCGGGCTTCGGCTGGATGGGAGTGGGGGTCCTCTGAATGATGACGTTCTGAGCGGACAGCGGACCCTGCAGCATTGCATTGCTCATGGCCGGTCTGACTGTCAGGGGCTGGGTGGCCTGAGCCACCGAACTGCTGCCAAACAGCGAGTTTCCATTCAGTGCAGCAGAAGGCGGGTTCTTCTGGATAACCAGCCCAGCATTGGGCGGTGAGACCCCAGCAGAGTTCAAGGCCACTTGCTGCTGGTCGGAGGCAGGTGAGGTGATGTAGTTGCCCACCGGGACGGCTTGGCCGGCTTTGGGGATGATCTGATGAGCCGGCTGATTGATGGTCATGACCGACTGATTTGATAACTGTCCCACCACCTGGATCTGGCCATTTGGCAGCCCCTGGATATTGGAGACTGGCTGAAGAGTCACATTGCCCAGCCCAACTTGCTGCAGGAACGGCTGGACATTGATGGCTTTGTTGACCACCTGGCCGCCAACTGTCTGCTGCTGGATCAAGGTCTGTTGGGTAAGAACGGTCGGCTGCTGCTGGAGGCTGATCAGATCGGAGCTGGTGGAGAAGAGTTGAGAGGTGTCAGCTGCCTGAGACACTGGCTGCAGGGAAGGGAAGTGGAAGGAGGAGATGTCCAGGTCGGCCTCCTCCTCCAGGGACTGCTCCGTAATGTTGGCCTCTTGTAAGCTCTGCTGCAGGATGTCACAAGGCTGGTCAGAGTTCTGCAGGTTTGAACCGGGACCTGGAGACGACCCAAGGATGTCATCCTCCAGGAAATCAAGGTCAACTGCACCGCTGGACGGCTGAGTCTGTCCGCTGTTCAGATGACTGATTGCAGTGTCCTGTACATTAAGCTGGGAATAAAGAGAGGGTTAAACTACAAACACACAATATCTTCCAGCCAAAAAAACAGAAATCTTTGCATCTGGCCATCAAATGTAATGACTTGTGTATTTTGTAGGCAAACTAATTTGTGCACAGCAGTCAAGGGTCCCCCCAAATCACCTGGGGTATTGTCAGCCAAGACATAGCCAAGGTTTATGTGCTTTCTTTGCAAGAGACTTGCAGAAAAACTGGAAGCAAAATGAAGGTTGTTGAAGAATTTCTGGATCCTCTCAAATGCCACATAAATAATAATATAGCGCTTTAATATAACGCTTTTTACATCTTCTAGACATCTCAAAGCGCTTCACAGAATATAATAATAATCCTTGCATTTGATATAGCGCTTTTCACGTCGGGAGGACGTCCCAAAGCACTTCACAGAACACACTGTAAATGCACAGCAATGTCCCACAAACAGTCGTAGATTGAAAATGACCAATTTAATTATTCTTTTTAGTTTTGGAGGGATTATTATTAGGCTCTGTGTGGAGTAAGGAAACTTGCCCAAGGTTTCACCCTCTGCCTGGAATTGAACTCAGGTCTCTCACTTGCAAGGCGAGTGCTCTAATCACTGAGTTACAAGACTCACTCCAAATAGAATGAACCAACACCCGGGTGGAATTTCTACACACCAATGCTATTTAAAACGCGAGACAAAGCCAAGGTAAAATAACTCACAGATGCGTCATTGAAGAAAGCGCTGGTGGGGTCTGCTGTTGTATCAAGGAGATCATCACCATCAAGCTATTAATATTAAGCAGAAACACGTATAGTCTCATGACTAGTTCAGGATAAAAGATTGCTTTATTAATAACAACAAGAATAATTGCATTTGATAGAGCAACTTTCACGTCAGGGGATGTCTCAAAGGATAACCCTAATTATGCGCTGACAATGCAATAAACCGTAGAAGTGTAGTGACTGTATTTTGTAGGTGAACCTTTAGCCAATTTGTTCCACAAACAGCCACACAGTGATATTTTTTATCATTTGGGCGACTGTGGGCCAGGACACTAGGAGGAACTCCCTTCTCTATTCAAACAGTATGGCGGATTTGTAATGTCCACTTGAACAGGTACAAATGAGGAGACTGGTTTAACATCATCCGAAGGACAGCGTCTCCGACAATGAGTGCTGCCTGGGGAAGAATCAACCTAGCGCATGTGAGCTCAATGTTCCAACTTGGTGGCTTGCACCCACACTATGACTCAAGAGTGAGATCGCTGCCAACTGAACCTCGCTGACACATATTTGGGATATATCTCCTGTAAATAAAATACAAAGGTCAAAAAGCACGCAAAACAGGGACACACAACAAATTGTATTTAAAAATTAGGAGGCCGTCCCAAGGCTTTGGACAGTTAAGGGTCTGCACCTGAGTGGAAGGTTGGATTTGGGAGGGGTGGGGGCCAAGTAGGTTGGGAGAGGATGGCCAAAACAGCAGTCAAAGAAGAAGCTTCTTGAGACAGCCCATGAAGGAGAGGAGGGAAGGGGCAAGGGAAAGGGACTCCATGAGATGGGGAGACCATGGAGCCAGGCGAGAAAGGGGGCAGTAGGACAACAGAGCAGAGTTCTGGACGGTCTGCAGTTTGATGTGAAAAGCGTACACAAATGTAATTTGTTGTTGTTGTTAAGGAAAGATTTGGGTCCAACACATGTCCAACTTACTTGGTCCGAACCATGCAAGAAGTCATTCAAGGCCTGGGGGTCACTGTGAGGAGAGAATACAGTTTAGGGATAATGACAATGATCTTTGCATTTGATATAGCTCCTATAAACACCAAAACACCTCACAAAATTTTACAAATTTATTGTAAAGTGGAGTGACTGTATTTTGTCGGCAAAACACACAGCTAAACCAAGATCGAGTGAAAATGATTTTTAAACAGGCAACATACAAGTCACTGAACTGTCTAGGTTCATAATTAACCATTAATAATGTCTTCCAGGAGTCAGGTAACTGGCGATGAGCACTCACTCACAGGGAGTTCCAGGTACCGTTATCCACCCAGAAAGGGCTCAATCATGCGTTTGTTCAATATCAAGAGATTCTTCCCATTCAGCCCTGCAAACCAAAGCCGCAACGGGTAGGGTAGTCCTAGCTGGACAAGCAGCAGGAAGCTTGTCAGACATCGCTCACTTTTAAGGCTCAAACTGGGGCCAGATAATTCCTATGGAAGAATCGTATGGATAAACCTGAACTGAGTCAGACACAGGAAACAATAGCTATAGAACAGGTCAGAAACACTTCCACATCTACCCCAAACAAATGAGTGTAGTAGGAAATTTGCATAAAGCTCCATAGGAACCAGGGCATTCAATCCATCTAGTCCATTTCAGTGTTTATATTCCACTCGAGCCTCCACCCTTTCTACGTCCCTCACCCATACCCCTCTAGTCCCTTCTCTTTAATGTATCTCTCTCACATATCTCTCTCATGTACGTATCAAGAGGAGCTGGGTAGGACAAACCCCTACCCCCATTGGCTGGTCTGCTAAGGTTCCACCAAAATCATAATCATAAACACTTCAATTAATCCTAGAATTGAAGCTAACAAGTCTCATTGTTGCTGTTCCTCTTTACAAGCTCAAAACTTACCAAATTACATCTAGCAAACACCGGCCATCTTCATCATCCATGTCAACTGCAGGGGAAAAGATTTAGCATTACACCAATGGTTAGTCACTGTGGCTTTGATGTTTGTTGTGCTAATTACAGATCCCTTGGCTAAACAGAAGCAAGGGTCTCCCAGGGTCCTGGTCAACAATTCTCCCCGTTTCTCCCACCCCCCATACAATTGCTCATTCACCTCATGGCTGTTTTGGGGACATCGCTGTGCACAAATTGGCTGCACAAGCTACATGCCAACAGACCAATAAAATAAACCACACTTTTAATACAGCACCTTTCATGCCAGGAGGATGTCTCAAACCACTTAACAGGATATACTGCAAAATGTAGTGACTGTATAATTTGTATGTGAATACGATAGCCAATTTGGAGATGGAGAGATAAGAGTTGGGTTCCCTTACATGTGAAAATGGACCCCAAGTGAAGTAATGATGAAAAGGAAAGGATCGAACATAGAGCCCTGAGGAACACCTGATGTAACTGCAGTGGTGAGAGAAACTGTTAAGAGGAGACAGTGAAGATACTGAGATTGGTAGATGATGTAATAGGAAAGTACAGAACCATAGAAGTAGAACATGGAGAAGACGTGATGGAGAAGGATAGGGTGGTCAACTGTGTTGAAGGCAAGGGTGAGATCAAGCAGAACGAGGAACCAGAGAGAGCTCTAGTCGCAGATGGGCAGAATGTCTCTGGTGACCCTGACCAGGGCATTCTCTGTCCCTGTGCTGTGAACAGGGAGGCAACCGATCAGAGGGGTTTGAGCAGGGAATGCTGGGAGAGGGAAGAGAGAAGCTGGGAGGCAACAACTCATCCCAGCACCTTAGAGAGGAAGAGTAGGTTGGAGACAGGTCTCTTCTGAGACATCCCTTTTCAAAGCTGATAAGTCCTCTTGTTTTGCCTAATCATTTCTCACACCTCATTCCTGTAACAATTGTTGCTTTTCTCTGCACTGAGCTCCGCCAACCCCATGATTCGTGGAGACCATTTGTGGCCTGACCAGAGAACCACACAGCCTGGCTTTGCCCTCGCAGCTCATTAAGTGGCTTGCCAATATCACCTTGACAGCCTGTTTGCCTGGTTTAGTGCTGCTTTGCTTGGTGTTGACACCATAGGTGAGCAAACTCTTGGGGGGGTGGGGGAGGGTTAGGGGCAAATGTGATGTTCACCCAATAACCTTAATCCGTGAGACAATCAACCCAAATAGTGAGGTCTAGGAAATACTCAGATCAAATTCGGGGGTGGAGGGGGGAGGTGATTCAGAAACCAACACCCGAAATAAGAAGGTATCGATCGGCATCAACAACAGTCACAGTTAACCACCGCAGAAGCTGCCACAAGTCACCTTTAATCTACTGACGTTTGCTATATTAATGTGTGTGAGGGTCTCTGCGGCCTGCAGTGTTAAGACAGAGGTACAGCCGTGCGATGGTGCAGAGGTGGGGTAAGGAAGAGCAGAACATGGCAAGGAAGTGGGGTAGGAAGGATAGGTGAGGGTCAAACAAGACACCAAAGTTCTGAGCTGGTTTAGTAAGGTGGAGTGTGCACCTTTGGATGGTGATGCTGATGTCAGCGCCTGAGGTGTGGAGGCACCGAAGGTAAACAATCAGGAGTGCCCAGGTCTTGTTGACGTTCAATTGTAGTAAATTAGCTCTAATCCAGGACCAATTTTATTTGGCCAGGATACCGAGAGAAACTCCCTTCTCTTTGAGTAGTGCCACTGGATCTCTAATGTCCACCTGAACATCGTGGATGGGACCTGGGTTTAATGTCTCACCTGAAAGACTGCACCTCCAACAATACAGCTTTAGTTATTTCAGCGTTCTTTATACTGTAGCTGTATTGAAGTGGGTGTGAGGCCTTCATACATCAACTTTATAAAGCAAGGGTTTGCATATTTGCAATTGAAGGTTAGTGCACGTCTCTTATTGGCCGGTCAAGGCAGAAATACCTCAATGGGGTCTCACGTATAAGAACAGTGCAAAGCAACAAGCATCAATGGCTAAAGCAGTCTGCAGCAGACTATAATCTGGAATAATGCAGATGATTGAACCAATGATTATTGAAAGAACTTTTGGCTTCTAGTATTCCAGTGTAGATACTGTCTCAGACTGAAAAACTACAGCAACATTGTATTACTCCTAATAGAGGAGTGACTATTTTTTACCTGCACGAGAAGACATCATAAAATCCCTTGACTAAACACCTTGTGATTTAATCGTCTCTCCGTCCTTTATTCCAGCATAGAATTCGCTGGAGACTGCACAAGAACCACATTACGTCACTCGTGAGCAATCGGGAGCAACCTTCTGCCTGCACAATAAAGACAGGGATTAAAAATTCTTCTGTTCATTAATAGAAAAACAAAACTCACAAATTCACAGGACCATTTTGAACAAGGGTGTAAGGGTGCTCTCAGCTATCATTATATCAGCTATATTATAGCTATCAAAATAGAGTATAAAAAAGCAAGGAAATAATGTTAAATTGATATAAAACTTTGGTTAGACCACATTTGGATCACTGAGCATTGCTCTGGTCACCATAGAGCAGCAAGGATACTGTCACATTGGAAAGAGTGCAGTGTAGATTTCCAATGTTACCAGGGATGAGTGTATACAGCGATGACAGGTTGGAGTTTTCTCTCTGGAGCTGAGCCGAGTGAGAGGGGACCTGAAGGAGGTGATTAGGGTTGTGAAGGGAAGAAAGAATATGAGGGGTAAGGACTCCTCAAGTGGAGTATTAATACTGGTACAGACTGGCTGGGCTAAATGGCCTGCTTGTGTACAACAGGTCTCCATGTAATTAAATTCTATGTAAAATAACTTTTGCATACTCTACACAAAACAACGATCACAGCAGAAAAAGCCACGTAACCAACCGCACACTGCAGGGCTCCAAGGCAAAGATTAAATGCTGTGATGTTGGCAAAATACTTAGCACAGATAAATTCACCCCCAAGACCCACCGCCCGCAGCCCACCACCCTGCCCCCGCAGCCCCCGCACCCCCACACACCCTGCCCCGGCCCCCCACTCTGCCCCAAACCGCAGTCGCCACTCCCCCACTCCCACCCACCATATGCACTCACAGAGAAACATAGTGTGAGAGACACAGACACACATACACACACACTTAGAATCGCCCGGACAGCTGCACTGTTTTAACAATCCCTGTCAGTGCCGAATTTGGGCTATTCACATCTTTCCCAGAGTAAATAAAATATAGGCCGAAAATACAGCAAGGGAACCACACAAAACTAAAGTTTTACAAGCGGATTGCAGGGTGCGTTGCCATTTTATATGGTTTGGCTGTCAGGAGGAAAGCCATGTGCAACATTTCAGAAGTTATGGGATTTAATAGCCTTTACAATGAGAGTCACTTTTAAAAGCTGAACCAGGCTGACATCTAAATTGAAAAACATCTAAATTGAATAAATATATAAAGAAAAATATTTGTAAAAAATGATAAAGAAAGAGGGCAGGCGAAGGAGCCTCAGTGGAGACCGCTTTCAGAGAGCAGACACAGCCGTGATAAGCTGAACAAGCAACCCAATGGTTTCCCCTGGCGTGGCCCATGCACTTCAAATCAATCGCCACCTACTAAGGCAGGCATACAGGGCTTCATTTACACACATGCAGCTGCATTATATTTATAGTCTACCATCTGAGCACTCAAAGATCGCTTCAGTTTCAAAATACTCTCGTCTTAAAGGGAACAGCAGCTGTAAATCTCCACTGTTGACTATAAATAGAGAGCGGGTTGGCCTCCCTAACGCCTCAGCGAAATACAACCTTCTGTTATTCTGGTGGCACAGCCTTCAACGACAACACCTGTATACTCTGAAACCCATTCTAAAACCTCTCACCTCACCCCTGCCTTCAAAACCATCTCTGTAAACAGGCAGACAATCTGGTGTCAGCTTGGCTCAGTTGGCAGCACGGTCTGTGCTCATTCAGGTGGATATTAAAAAGATCCTGTGGCACAATTCAAATAGCGTCCTGACCAACAATTGCCTCCCCGCCAACCCCTGCCCAGACAGAATTGGTCAATTCACTTCACAGCCATTTGTGGGACGCTGTCCTCTTTGGGATCAAGCCCCATATTGGGACTTTGAACTGACATTGTCTAGGCAGACGCTCCAATGCAGTGCTGGTTGGAAGCGCTGCATTATCGGAGGTGCCGCATTATCGGAGGTGCCATCCTTCAGATAAAATGTTAAACTGAGCTCCCTGTCTACCTATTCAGGTGAACGTTAAAAGATCCCGTGGCACTATGTGTAGGGAATTTCTCCCAATGTCCTGGCCAACAATTTCACAGATTAAATTTCACGGCTGTTTATGGGACGTTTCTGTGTGCAAATTGGCTGCCATGTTGGCTGACAAAATACAAAAGCCACTACAATTTACTGTAAAGCGATTTGACAATGAAGGACACTGTATCAAACGCAAGGATTATTATTATCACTGTTGGGAAAAACAAAAACCTCTGCTGAGCCTTTGTGGATCAGCAGTTGTACAGCTCCTTGTGGTAAAAGCAGATTGAGGGCAATAACAGTAACTGGAGAAACACTCCAGGCTTCACATGAGTGGTGTCTATTAACAGGAAACTAAATATTGGCAGAGCACACTTAATATCAATTCATTGTTATCATTTCATCTTCAGCAGAAGAAAGTGTCAGTGAATGCTTTGTACTCTGTGGGATCATGCATTGATCGCAGCCCGGGATGGGTGGGGGGGTGCAGGGGGAAATCAGTGTCTAATTTCTATCGCCAGAATATGTAGAGTCACGACTTGCTACTGAAATTGTTGCTGTAAAGGTGGAATTAGTTACACACTGCAGTAAATAATAATAATGATCATTGTAATCTTTGCTTTTGATACAGCACCTTTCATGTCAGGAGGATATCTCAAATCATTGCACACAATTTACTTATTGAGAAAAGAATGGAGTTTATCCAAGTATCCTGTCCAACAATCCCCTCCCCACTCCGATAAAATTGGACCTTCACTTCACAGCTATTTGTGATGGGACATTGGCCAAGCTCGAATTTCATCACCTACAAATCCAGTCACCACAGATTGACAGTGAAATCCTGGGATGTGCTTTAATGACATCCTGAGATGCTGGCAACAATTTTTATTTTTATTAACTTACCTTCTCAGAACATCTATGAAAAATTTCAAGGCAAGTTGTGTTACAGGAAATGAATGTGTATTTTGTAGGTAAACACAGCAATTAATTTGCTTGCAGCCAATGTCCCACAAGCACCACAGGGCAAAGGATAAATGGCCAATTTTTCAGGGGATCGACGGGCAGCACATCGGGATAGAGAAACTACCTTCCCTTTACCAATAGTATTACAGGGATCTCGTCACACCCACCTGGGGACAAGCAGACAGGGTTGGTTTAACGACTTGTGTTTCTAGTCCGGTCAGTCCCTGGCAGTAGTAAAGGCACATGTGAGTACTAATTTCCACCGAGGGCTGGTGTAACAGATGCTGCCCCAAGCTCCTGCCGTAGAGGAACTAGTCTGTGCACATTGCGGGAGGTTAAACCAGTACCAGAACAACAGAGATGTAGAGCTGGGGAAACACATCACGCAGCCTTGTCTAACAAGAACAGGAGGAACAGCAGAAGAGGTAAGGCCCACAAGTTGTATCCCACCAATGAACTAGTCAAATAACTCCCGGCTGCTTCGACACAAGTTATATTACACCACAGGTGGCATGTAAATCATTACGATAATGACTTCTGTTTGTACCATACATTAAGAATTAATTAGGCATAGTTAATTACTACAAAGAGGTTTAATGGTGCACTATAATCCTGTGTGGATTGAATCGAGCTCAGCTGGAGACAATGTAGTGATAGTGGGTTATTGGATAGATAGTGCTTACCCATAGAGCCAAGGTCTTCCAAATAAACATTCATGGGAAAAATGTTCTGATAATAATAATTCTTGCAATTATTATAGCACTTTATCATGTCTTCGAGACATCTCAAAGCACTTCACAGAATATACCGTAGAATGAATTGACTGTGTATTTTGCGAGTGAAATCTAAAGGCATTTTCATTGCCATGAAATATGACAATAACTTAAATAAATGACATCAATTACAAGGTAGGACAATGGCACCTCAGACTCTCTGAGAGAGCTACAATGATATCTTAGGCAGAAGATAAAATTCATCTTGTAAAGGATTCTCTTTAGAGGCTGAAGACACTGTTGTGACAAAGAAGAGAAAGCTTTACCAGCATTTATTCTGATATTCTTGCTGCTACCACTGGGTGACAAAAGAGGAAAATACACCATTGTTCCAATCTGCAGCACTGATATCCTTTACCATGCTGAACACAAGACCCATCCTCTCAACTTCTGGGTCAAGGTAACCCTGTAGATGCCTTTTATCTAAATAAAGAGCTTCGAATTCCACAGAACATGTCAAATTATCCACCACCAACAAATCCACAATCTGGTCCCACAAAACCAGGGAGAGTGAAATCAGAAAATGAATCCCTAACACAATGCTCTGTAGTCCACCTGAACAAGCACAGGGAGGGAGCTTGGTTTAACACAATAAGGATATCACAATTACAACTAGCTATAGTCCTGGAACTCCCAAATTCCAGACAGTCGGAGCCATAGTAGTTGGAGGGATGGAGGGAGGAACCAGTTGGGAGTGGTGGGAGGTGAGAGAATGGGCCTGGAGCAGACTTGACCCAAACCCCAAGTCTGAAGTAGCACCTTGGGAATAGGTCTTGTAAAAAAATCACAACCAACTATTCTAGACATAGTCAAAAACAACTTGCATTTTACACAGTGCCCCGGCACAGGATAGCGTCTTACAGCACTGCACCAAGATGGAGTTGGTAACTGAGTGATGGGGTGAGGGAGGTGATCATAGGCACGGTCGAAGAGGTCTTAAATGGAATTTAAATGTACACAAAAGGGGAGGAGAAGCTGAGGGATTGAGGTTTAGAGGTTAGGGGAGTCGCGATTGAAGGCACTGGCACAGAGGGAAGGATTGGGGGCTGTGCAGCAGGCAGTGGAGTGGCGTGCAAACATCATCCGAACTTTCAGATGCATAACAGTACAGTCCTAGCCACCTGTGGTGTGCCATTTCCTTCAGATTTTAAAACTATGGCTCTTACCGTATCCCACATAATCACGTGGGTTTTATCCCAACTACCTCCTGTTTTTCTCTCTACTGTGCTATATACTTTGGTACAAGAGAGTAACTGTTCCACTGTGGCTGAACAGGCTATGTCAACAATTCGACACAGAGCTGAACTTTCTCCTGCGAGTTTT